AAGTTTATTTTATTATATTTAGCTAAATAATCCTAGTTTATATATAAGTTTAGTCTTCTTAAACCTATATTAATAAAGGATCTAGTAAATACTTAAGGCTAATATATTTATATTATACTTTTTTATAGCTTACTAGCTATATTAGTATATAATTTTTTTTTACTATAATAATTATAGTAAACCTTTTATATAATAAAGCTAGTAATAGATAGTATTACCTTCTTAGGCTAGCTAGCTTAAGGGGTATCTTTAATATATTTAGGAAAAAGAGAAAAGGTAGAAGCAGAGGGGTCAAAGCTATACTTTTTTATGTATACAAGAATCTTATTAACTATGACTTTAGGTATATTAAGAGCCTCTGCAACCTTGTTAGTAGATTTACCTTTAGTGTAGCTTTAAAGGGCAAAAATAGATGCCCATAAGTAGGGGTTAACGTAGGCTATAACAGCAGTAGTTATAATAGATAGTTATAATAGTTGTTATTGTTATTGTTGTTATTATTAGTAGATAGATAGTTGTAGGCAGGGGCCCTAGGGAAGAAGAAATAATTCTATTGCTCTGATTAGTTGGATATATATAAAGTGGGTCTAGGTGAGGGGGTGGGCCTTGGCATTATGGATCATTACTTTTGACACGCTCCTCCGTACTTAGTTTAGGTACCTTGCGGACAACTACCCACCTAGCAGTACCTGTCTACTTTGCGGGGAAGAAAGCCGAGACGGTGAATGGATAACTAAGTGCGACGACCCCCACAGAGGCAGGCGCTTCGGGTCTCCCTCCTCTCCCCAGACCATCGAGCACGGACCAAGGGTACCAGGCAAAGCGGAACATGCTGAGTCATCATTAGTCCACCGTTTCAACCCACTCGCATGTGTCCGTTCGTTCCCAACACCCGTACGTACGAAGGTATCTTATTCTGTTCTGCCAGTTCAACAATTACTAGTTGTTGCCCTGAGGCACGAGTGTTTAGTGAGGGGGGGAATGGATCTGGAGTCTATCTAACTATACAGACTAGGTGGGTATGCAAGATGAGGTGTGGAATGCATCCCGTCCTTTCCATTTCTTTCCCGACTAAACTTTGTTCCCAAGCAAGTCCTATCCGCATACCCCAAACAGGAAAACCTAAGCGCTCTTTCCTGATACTGCAATGAACGCTTCCCACTGCTCTGCTGGCTGGCCATCCTGTTTGACATCCCAACACGGCCATCTTAAGCACTCACTCGGAGGGGTGCCAAGTCGGCTGTCGGTTGCCCTTATATCAATCCGAATGGACTGCAACGACTGACCTTTGTTGTTGTGCTGTCCGCGGTCTCTTATTGCTGCGCTTTCAACAGCGAGTCGATCCCAGCTTTGTTCACTCGACGCGACGGGCCATTTGTGCTTGTGCGACGAATGAGTCTAGAGCTACCCCTCCATCACTCGTCGAGACCCGAAAATCACCTCCACCGTCTAAGTCTCGGCCAACTACTCGCAGATAGACCGAAAAAAAACACCACAATGGCGCCCAGCGCAGTTCCTTCTGAGCCCGCTCCCCAGGACGTCGTCGCCTCCAAGCCCCTCAACGCCGGCAGCAACACCAGCCCGTTCCAGCTCACAGAAGCCGGAAAGAAGGAGGTCGACTTTGTTCTTCGCACATTCCGCTGTCTCATCGCCGACCTATGCGAGCAGTACAAGGGCGGCCACCCTGGCGGCGCCATGGGCATGGCTGCCATCGGAACCTCCCTCTGGAAATACGTCATGAGATACTCCCCCAACAACCCAAATTACTTCAACAGAGACCGCTTCGTTCTCTCCAACGGCCACACGTGCCTGTTCCAGTACACCTTCCTGCACTTGACCGGCTACAAAAATATGACGCTGGACCAGCTCAAGTCCTATCACTCGAGACGCACCGACTCCCTCTGCCCCGGTCACCCCGAGATCGAGCACGAGGGCATCGAGGTGACGACCGGTCCCCTGGGTCAGGGCATCGCCAACGCCGTCGGTCTCGCCGCCGCTACCAAGCACCTGGCCGCCACCTACAACCGCCCCGACTTCCCCGTCGTCGACAACATGACGTGGTGCATGATTGGTGATGCCTGCCTGCAAGAGGGCGTGGCCATGGAGGCCATCCAGCTTGCTGGCCATTGGAGGCTCAACAACCTGGTTGTCATGTACGACAACAACCAGGTCACCTGTGACGGCAGCGTCGACCTCTGCAATACCGAGGACGTCAACGCCAAGATGCGCGCTTGCGGCTGGGGCGTCATCGACATTGAGGACGGCAACTGGGACGTCGAGGCCATCGTCCGCGCCATGGACCTGGCCCGCGGTAGCAGGGACAAGCCGACCTTTATCAACATCCACACCGTCATCGGCATCGGCAGCGCCGTCGCCGGCGATGCCAAGGCACACGGAGCCGCCTTCGGTGCCGCCGACGTCGCCAACATCAAGAGGAACTTTGGCATGGACCCCGAACAGCACTTCGTAATCGGCGACCGTGTCTACGGTTACTTTCGCGAGGCCGTGTCGCGCGGCGACAAGATCGAAGCCGAGTGGAACGAGCTGGTCGAGGCCTACTCGCGGGACCACTCCGAGCTGGCTGCCGAGTTCAAGAAACGCGTTGCCGGGGATTGGGTTGACGACTGGCGCAAGTTCATCCCGGCCAAGGAGGAGTTCCCCACCACGCCGACGCCCTCGCGCAGATCGGCGGGTTTGGTCTGCAACCCCATCGCCGCCGGCCTGAACAACCTGATGGTCGGCACTGCGGACCTATCGCCCTCTGTCAACATGATGTGGAAAGGAAAGGTTGACTTCCAAAACGTGAGTTGAGATATGCTGGCGTCTTGGGCTTACCGGCGCATTGCGCGTGAGAGCGTTTGCTGATGGACGCCCCTAGCCTGATCTGAAAACGACGTGCGGCATCAACGGCGACTACGCCGGCCGCTACATCCACTACGGCGTCCGCGAGCACGCCATGGCGTCCATCACCAACGGTCTGGCTGCCTTCAATAAAGGGACCATCCTGCCGGTGACGTCCAGTTTCTTCATGTTCTACATCGTAAATGACCCTACCTTCCGGGACCCCCGGCCATTCGAGAGCCTGCTAACAAAGAGCAGTACGCCGCCCCCGGCGTGCGCATGGGTGCCCTTCAACGCCTGCAGCAGATTCACATTGCGACGCACGACTCGATCGGCACTGGTGAAGACGGCCCCACCCATCAGCCCATCGCGCTGCCTGCCCTCTACCGGGCGATGCCGAATCTGCTCTACGTCCGGCCGTGCGACAGCGAGGAGACGGCTGGCGCGTTTGTGCTGGCCATGGAGGCCAAGGACACGCCGACAATCATCTCGCTCTCCCGCCAAAGCCTCGAGCAGTACCCGCAGAACACGTCGCGCGAGGGCGTGCTGCGGGGCGCCTACGTATTCCGGGAGGCGGCGGACGCGGACGTCACGCTCATTGGGGTGGGAGCTGAGATGGTGTTCGCCGTCAAGACGGCCCAGGTGCTCGCCGACAAGCATGGCATGAAAGCGCGCATCGTCAGCTTCCCCTGCCAACGGGTGTTCGAGCGGCAGCCGGTGGAGTACAAGAGGGAGGTGCTGCGATACCGGTCGCAGGCGCCCCGCGTGGTGATCGAGGCCTACGCCGTCAACGGGTGGGAGCGGTACGCGGACGCGGGCTTCTCGATGAGCACGTTCGGCCACTCGCTACCGGGCCCAGACGCGTACAGATACTTTGGTTTCGACGAGGCCGTCATCGCGCCAGCGGTCGCCCGCCTCGTGGAGGAGGTCAGGGCCAAGGGCGTGGACAGCCTCCGGGGCGAGTTCCGCGACCTCAACCCAGTCCGGCATTGATCCGCGAATCATCTCGTATCCTGGTGGTCGTTTGTATATCTGCTGACCGGAGCAAATGTCGAATTATGGGAGAGCGCGGGGGGTGGAAGACAACGTTTTGGCAACCAGGGGTCGGTAGGAAAGGGTGCGGCGGCGTTTGGGAAGGTATTTTGGGATTTGGCAGGCAAATGGTGTCTGCGTAGACACGGATCACCCTGGGATCTTCATCATGGCCGACTTGTCTGATGGCAGTCTGGCTAGGAGACTCGGTCAGTGTGCACATGCATGCCAGGACGTGTGAGTACATATAGCCCGGCCAATGGCGTGGTCTCCAGCAAGTGGAAAATGTATGTACGATGTACGTAGTATGCATCGGCTGGTAGGCCCCGAATCATTGAGACGAGCTTCTACTGTATTATTTAGTAAGTGTCCGGTGATGCTTGTGCTCAGAAGCACTAGACCTTGTGCAACATGAAAAGGCGACGGATGATGCGGAAAAACGGCATTGAGAAAAGCATCAGGGTTGCTTTGGACGGACGGATGTGTAGTGTCCGAGTAGGCATGTACATGCCCAACTGGGTTGCTACGCTGTAGGTTAGGTAGGTAGGTAGGTACAGTGAAATGTAAGAATCCTGGGCTCACCTATTGAAGATGGCACATTGTGTGGTGAGCCCGGACTTCTCACATGTCACTGTAGGGGAGGGTAGGTAGGCACTTATTGCTAAGCGATGCGAGAGCTCCCACGAGGGCGGGGGGGTTGCGGAGTCCTCCCAGGTCCCGAGACGAGAGTTTAAGACCAGCCAACCCCGTGCAATCTGTGTAGAGTTTGTCACAGGCGGCGCCCCAGGCCTAGGCTTCCACTGAAGTTCTACGGTAACTCTACCTACCACCTGCCTAGGTAATACGTACAGTGTGTCCTTTCTGTCCACAACCGCTTACCCGCTTGCACCTTCCCCCGTCTCCCCACGCCATCCGTCCTCTTCCTCCCTCTACAGCCAGAGCCTTCAAGTCACCACCTATGTAGTATGCAATAGAGACGCAAATCCAATCGCAACGGCAGCAAGAGAGAGGCATAGCTGTTGCCCGGCTTCCCAGGGATACCGTTGTTGGGCAGCAACATCGTCGGTGACTAGGGTAATTCCTAGCAAAAAGGGGGGTGAGAGATAGACGGATCTAGATTGAACTCTGTTTTGATATCACGTCTTGGCCCTATCTACGTGTAGTCTATCCAGAGTCATATCAGAGTCAGATCAGAGTCTGCCCTTACTCGAGTCTATGGTCCCTTACCACTGCTGAGTCTTCTGGCTGCTTGAGGGTCGTCGAGCTTACCCCATAACAGCATTCGGCCACTCATTTCCTCCTACACATCCCATCGTTTCTGCGCTGCCCCCAGCTTTCCGAGGAGACGCATGTCGAAGCGCCTGTTGCTCCACGTGCACTTGACAGAAGCGTTTTTGCCTTTTTTTTCTTCTTTTCTTTTTTTTTTTTCTGTCCCTTTTTTTTCTCCTTCCCACTTTGCGACGGGGGGCCTTGCTAAGCCTACCCTAGCCACCCACCCACCCTCGTATTGCCAGTGGGCGTTGTCCCCGTCTGACTTGCGCTTGCGGACGCGCACCCCGTGCCGATGACCGCGACCCCATTATGGCCGCCGAAGAGGAACAGCCTTTGCCACCTCCCGGCGACGGCGACGACGGCGACGACGGTGATGGCGACGATGGCCGACGACCGGGCGATTCCGAACAGCCCCCGCCGGCCAAGAAGAAGAGGACCCGGACCCGGACGGGCTGTCTCAACTGCCGCCGCAAAAAGCGCAAGTGCGACGAGGGTCGTCCTGCCTGTGGCGGGTGCTCGAGGCGGAAGGAGAGGTGCGAATGGGGTATCAAGGTCACCTTCCGCGCCGAGAACGCCCAAACAATACGGCAAGACCACCCGTCAATGAAGAAGGCCCGACGCCCGCCTCTGCGCCGCCAATTTGAGATTCTCGACATCACTGACGAGGTCATCCGCGACTACCACCTCCCTCCCGGCTTCCACGACTACGATTCTGACCGAGAAATGGAACTTGACCTGTCACCCCCCAGAGCCGAAGCCGAGGCTGCCTCTGGCCCCCAGCATGAAAAGGACGAAGCCGGCTACTTCGACAGCCCCCTGTCCTACTCGACCTCCATCGCCGGCTCCAGTACCGCCAGACGGACCTTGTCTTCGTCTGGCCCAAGTTCTGCACCCGCCGAAAGTGTGCAGACGTCGGCCTTTGCTGCTCTCTTGAGCCCTGAGGCCCGTCGAGAAGATGAGTCTGCCAACAAGGTGCATCCGTCGACTACTGATCGTATTGACTTCCGCGCCTCGCCAACCTCCGCTTCGCAGCTCATCACCGATAGCGCCGTGGCGAACCTCATTTACCTTAGCCAAGGCGGCCGCTGCCAGGTGCCCCATCAGCATCCTACATCCACAGTCCACTCCATGCCACCCACGGCTTTGTCTATGGACCATTTGATGGACCCGCCGTTTGATTTCATGGACCAGATCTTCACCCCCGAAGGCTCCTACGAAGACGGCATCTTCCTTCCGGGCTCAGCATACCACGAGTTGCACTCGACGCTGAGAAACCATCTAATCCAAGAAGTCCGGTCCAATGGCCCAACGAGGCACGCCTCGCCCGCTTCTGCTCACACCCCAAGGCGGAGATCAGGCTCGGGCTTCATTGATGCCAGCTCGGGGCCGTCCTCGTCAGGAGAAGCAGCCGAAGCCGTCGACGACCTATCTTCAGACCACGAACCCCCTTGCCTGCCACTGGAGGAGGAGTGCGCATTGTGGAAGAACTGGGTGGACGAGATCTCTCCTTGGTTGGACAAGTTTGACAACCAACGCCACTTTCAACATTCTCTGCCTACGATGGCTCGGTCCCACAACCACCTGCGATATTCCATGCTGGCCCTGTCGGCCCGCCAGCTCGAGCTGAAGGATAAAAACCGCCCAACAGACCAGAGTTTAGCGCTCTACCAGGAGGCTATACACCTGCTCTTACCACAACTGCCGACCCGGACGACGGCCGTGGCCGCATCTTGCGTTGTGCTCTGCGTGCTGGAAATGGCCAGCTGCTCGCCAAAGGCGTGGCGAAGACATTTGGACGGATGCGCCAGCCTGATGGAGGCCATTGGCATAAACGGCTTCGTCGGTGGCGTGGAACAGGCTCTGTTTTGGTGCTTCATCCGAATGGACGTGTGCGGCGGTCTCATATCGTCCGTCAAGACCTTGATACCTGTCAATCATTGGGCGTCACGTGTCGACCTTGAAGCAGACGTTGCCTTGTTCCTCGCCAATCCAGGCCACGATATGTGGGCGAATTATGCAGTCTATCTTTGTGGCCAAGTTCTTGACCTCTTGGCTCCACTCGCCAAGGCAAATCCGGGTGGGCTCTTCTTTGACGGCCCGAGGAACGACATGAGGCATCGGGTCAGATGGATGAAGCTTTGGAAATATGTTGAAGACTGGCACAGCCGCCGGCCGCCCGAGATGCAGCACATCATGTCCATACCCTCATCCGACACGGTGCCGTTCCCCAAGATCCTCTACAGCAACCCTGCCGCCATATCAGGGAACCAGCTATACCACACGGCATCTCTTCTCATGCTGCAAAATAGACCAGCCTCGCTGCGACTGTCGCCGAAGCCTCGTTCGGCGCTTTGGCACGCCAGACAGATATGCGGGATATCAATGACCAACCACCATCACGGGGCCTGGACCAACAGCATCCAGCCCCTCTGGATTGCGGGACGCTGCATGAGCCACCCCGCAGAGCACCGAGCCATACTAGAGCTGCTAGAAAAGATCGAGAGGGAAAGCGGATGGGGCACTAAGTGGAGGGCAGATGACCTGAAGGACTTCTGGGGTGACTTGGGAGACGGTTAGTATCCCGGTGACTAGACAAAGTTTCCAACTCTTCATGCTTAAAAGACGGACATGAGTCCTCCTGACACTGAGACGCTTGAGCAGTTCCAGCCGCCGGGGAAGGCGTTGGCGCAAAGCGACCTCGACGTCATGCGTCAATATTCCGCATTGGGTCCAATATCGAAGCAATGCCGACGGATTCATGATGATACCACCACGGATTGTGACACTCCCCCACCTGGAGCGTGCGATTCGACAGCGGACCCGCCGCCATAACTCGGTAGCCGTCTCTCCACACTTTGCGGCATGGACTCTGGGACCGACCCCACAAGCATGGAGTTGACGAGTAGTTGCTGACGGACGCCAGTCGGAAACCCACAAGGTGCGGCTGTCCATGCGGGATTGCGGAGAGATGACCAGGTGCTGGCCGGGGTAAGAAGAGGAGGATGACCTCATTTCCCCGTCTCCTGCTATTTAGCGTTCTTCGACGGGGCTCATGACGGGAATAAGCGCCCGTTTTGACATGGCGCCGTCCAACCCGTTAGGGACAGGCGATTCCTGGAACAAGACGTGATGTAAAGGCAACTCGAGCCGCAATTTGTGAACCGCCCCTGTCTGCCCGAGGCGACTGCTTTTCGTTATCGATCCAACGCGTCCGGCACTCATCGGCGCGCCAAACCAAGTTGCGGGCATTTGCCGGTTTAAAGACGCCTTCGTCTCTGTTGGGAAATATATGCATAGGCGGGAATTTTGGGGCCAAAGCCCTCTCGCATCGATGGTCGAGGTCGGCATGGGCGGCACATCATAAACAGCGGCAGATTGAGCCGCAAGTCTGGTTCGTGCGGTTCAAACGGTGGGTATGTTTGCTACAGGGAGGGGGGCGCTCTCCGATGGCCCTCTTCGAAACCCGAGCAACGGGAAGCCGTCAAGGATGGGTAAAAACATGCGATATTGGTCGGTTGTGAGCTCACCCGACTCTTGAGGGTGAGCCCGGTGCGCCAAGGACTGACTGATCGAGCGGGAGTGTAAGTGCCGATCGTCGAGGGCGCTTTCAACTTCCTCGTTATTCCGAAAAAGGGCAGCTCCACGCACCGTACAACGCAATGGCCACAAATCGGCGATTTTCGTCCCAATCCTTGTTCATCTGGCTTCTCGGCACTGGCCCCGGATCCGCAGTCAGACCTCGGCTTCTTCCAAGAGTTTTGCAAAGCTTGCTTGTTCTAGGAGACATCAAAAAGAGGGAGGAAGGGGACGACTAGTGTGTCTAGACGGCGCCAAAACAGGCGATGCAACTTTAACCGTAGTCGGAACGCAAGACGAGGCTCTACCTTGGGCTTGAGAAAAATCTTTCCCGCCGCCCCATCCCAGTCCCGACGAGTCAGTTGGTTGAGGACCAATCGCGTGTCAAGGCGCGTCCAACTGCCCACAGCAACCACGTAGAGACTCACCGCGGGCCGTTAATTACCCTGTTGTATTGAGGTATCTGATCTACCTAGGTAGTCTCATCAGTTCTCCGCGCTGGGGTCCCCGCACTCTATTCGATTTCCTGTGGGGGGGGCTTGCATGGGTGAGGGGATGCGATGCTTGACACGCGCTCCCTCTTTCTTCAAGGGCTTGACAGCAATCAAATGACGTTGCTTTGCACCTATCCAACTCATTTTCCCTTGCCGGGGAGACTAAAGAAAGTGTGCATCCCTGGCGGCTACAGTCTGCCATTCCTCAAATCCTTCCTCAACACCAACGCTGCACGGCATGCCCTGGCGTTCTGTACATATAGAACCGCATCCCCATCTATCGTGAACCGAGGTGTTCTCCTCTTCGTCTCCCTGACTCGGCCACACCGGCTCCTCGACTCTCGTCACCCGCGATCAAGCCCGTCGCGAGAAAGGCACTCTTCCATCCCTGGAGCGTGCGCCATCGACGGCTCTAGACTCTCTTTTGTTGGCTCTTCTTCATCATGACCATCCTTGTCGGGCGGCCGCTCAACTGGGCCATCACGGCCACGGCGGGCTCCGGCTTCCTCCTTTTCGGATACGACCAGGGAGTCATGTCCGGCCTCCTCACCGGCTACGCCTTCACACGGACCTTCCCCGAGATCGACACGACTAACGGCGGCGGCGGCAGCTCCTCGCTGCAGGGAACCGTTGTCGCCATCTACGAGATCGGTTGCTTCTTCGGTGCCATCTTTTGTCTGCTGGTCGGCGAGAAGCTCGGCCGTCGCAAGTGCATCATGATCGGCTGCTTCGTGCTCAGCATCGGTGCGGCGCTGCAGGCCGCGGCGTTCGGCATCCCGCAGCTGATTGTGGGCCGTATAGTCGCCGGTCTCGGCAACGGCATGAACACCAGCACCATTCGTGAGTTGATCTCTACCGCCCGGGCGATAGATGGACGACGCAGTGACTATAGGAAACGCTGACCTTGGAGATAAAAGCCGTGTGGCACTCGGAGCTGATGAAGGCGGACAGCCGAGGACGTGGCCTGGCCATCGAGCTCGCCATCAACATCTTTGGCGTCATGACCGCCTACTGGGTCGACTACGGCATGAGCTTCGTCGCCAACGACGCCCAGTTCCGTTTCCCCCTGGCCCTGCAGATCCTATTCGCCGTCGTGACCTTCTTCGGCGTCTTGGTCCTCCCCGAGTCGCCCAGATGGCTCATCGCGCACGACCGTCACGATGAGGCCCGCCACATCCTCTGGGCCGTCGAAAAGGACGCCAGGTCCATCACCGAGACCGAGCCCAAGCTGGAGCGTAACCTGGTCGAGATCCAGGTCGCGATCCGCGAAGAGCGCGAAGCCGCCAACGCCGGCAGCTTCCGAATGATGTTCAAGAACGGCGATCAAAAGTTCTTTTACCGCACCATGCTCGGGATCGGGGGGCAATTTATGCAGCAATTGTCCGGAATCAACCTCATCACTTATGCAAGTAGTCTCCTTGAACCATCCCTATATGCCACCCAACCCCAAACGCTACATAGCTAATACTTCACCAGTACGCTCCCGTCATCTTCCAGGAGTCTGTCGGCATGACGCACAGCCTCTCCCTACTGCTCGCGGGGTTCAACGGCATTGCGTACTTCTTCTCCTCCCTGATCCCGATCTGGATCATCGACCGCCTCGGCCGCAGGAAGCTCATGCTCTTCGCGGCGGCGGGCCAGTGCGCCTGCATGGCCGTCCTCGCGGGCACCGTCTCCAACGGCAGCGTGCCCGCCGGCATCGTCGCCATTGTCATGCTCTTCCTGTTCAACTTCTTCTTCGCCGTCGGCCTGCTCGCCATCCCCTGGCTGTTGCCGGCCGAGTACGCCCCCCTCGCCATCCGCACCCGCGCCGCGGCGCTGGCGACGGCGTCCAACTGGATCTTCACCTTCCTCGTCGTCGAGATCACCCCCGTCAGCATCAAGAACATCGGCTGGCGGACGTACGTCTACTTTTGCGTCTTCAACGCCCTCTTCATCCCGCTCATCTACTTCTTCTACCCGGAGACGCGGAACCTCAGCCTCGAGCAGATCGACAGGCTGTTCACTGGCGGCAAGGTCCAGCTGTATTGGAAGGCGAGCATGGGCACCCCCGGCGAGGGGAACGACATCGTCAACGAGAAGACTTTCGAGTCGGGCTCGGGAGAGGTTCACCGTGTGGAGAACAAGGACGAGGCCGCTGCTTAGTTAGGGTGGATGATACCAAAGGGTAGGTGTGTACGGGCTGGTGGGGCATCCTCTTTGGGTTTTCAGAATGGTCAGGTTGCAGTAGGAGTTGGTTCATGATATCTAACGGTCTGCGTAGTGTAACGTAGTAAAAGCAGGACTTTTTCTTTTTCGAGCGTACACCTCGGCGGCGTAGCAATAATCATACATTTTGCCGCCAAGTCTCCTTGCGCTGAACGGCGCTCACAACTTGCTGTCTCTGTACACGGGCTTCCTCTTCTCGACGAAACTCTTGACGCCCTCTGTCATGTTCTCCCCTGCCTCCATCCTGCGGTAGATGCCCTGTTCGACGGCCGCCGTCGCCCCCACGGGGCCCATGGGCTCCCACCCGCTCTTTAGCCCCTCCCGCGAGACAATGACGGCGTCCGGGGAGTTCCTCGCGATCGCCTCGGCGGCGGCGAGGGCGGTCTCCATCAGCGAGCCGGGCGGCACGACCTCGTTGACCAGGCCCCAGGCGAGCATCTGCTCGGGGGTGTGGTCGGTGCGCCCGATGAGGGCCATCTCCGAGGCCCTCTGCCGGCCGACGGACTTGATAAGCCGCGGCAGGGCGCCGGCGACAGCGATGACGCCGATGGTCACCTCAGGGAGGCCGAACCGGGCCTCGGTGGATGCGTAGACCAGGTCCGCGTTGATGGCCATCTCCATGCCGCCGCCGAGGCAGAGCCCGTTGACGGCGGCGATGACGGGCTTCTTGCCGTCGCGGTTCGACAGGCCGCCGAAGCCGGCGGGGGGGCGCCACCCGTCGCCGGGGTTTTCGCCGCCCGATGGGGCGACCGCAGCGACGGGCGTCGGGTCGGCGGATGGGGTCGGGGGAGCGGCGGCGGAGGCGGAGGCGTTGCGGGCGTTCCACTCCTTCAGGTCGGCGCCGGCGCAGAACGCGCGACCGGTGCCGGTGAGGACGGCGCAGCGGAGGGAGGGCTCGGCGTCGTACCAGTCGTAGAGGCGGGCGAGTGAGTAGTGGAGCTCCGAGGGGATGGAGTTGAGCTGGCGGGGCCGGTTGAGTGTGACGAGGAGGACGTGCGGGCGCGGGAAGGAGACGTCCACGTCCGGGATGGACGGGGGCGGGGTCGCGAAGCTTGGTTTCTGGGGCATTGTGAAGTTTATGGGCGAGCTGAAAAGAACTCGACGCCCGTGGCAAGGGTATGGTGAGAGATGAGATGTAAAGCTCTGGGACGGCGGTGGCTGAGGCGGCGGCGGAGGAGGCGGAGGCTGAGATGAAGTATAGGAGATTATCCCAGTTGAGAGTGTCGGCGAAGGAAGACGATCCAAGCTTCACGGCTGCTGTTAAATGAAAACCACTTCATCCACTGGATATGTACCGGTCGAATATGAGTGAGCGCCAAAGTGCATTGATGAGAGCTGCGGATGAGAACGAGCGAGGTTGGGGACATCCGGGGAGACCTGGTCCACGGAGCTCAGGCGATTTGCCTCGGCTTGCCACTGCCCGTACCGAGCTCCGTGCGGGGTACACCGAGCTCGGTGTGGGTCGGTGAAGTGGAACATTTGGGCCAGGCAATCTGCAGTTGAGCATACGTCGCCTATACACTGGCTAATAAATAACTTGGCAGCAAGACTACCAAGCCATTTCAGCAATATCGGTGTAAACATTCTAGCTTTCTGTATTAACGTTGGCCACGTCCGTGCCCATTTTGGCAAATCTTGGTGGCCACCTGCTTCAGTACCCCCAGTAGTTCCACCCCAGCCTACATCTATCTCCTTGATGTCTCCTGTTTGCCCGAAAGCTGTCATCTGAGATTCCGACAGACTATTGCTGAGCCATCTTAAGGTCACACACCACGCACATTGTGTAACAGCCTCGAAAAGTCCGGTATTATGGAGGTGTAACCCTCAATATGGCTTTGTGCGCCCAAAACGTTGACCTGCATCGAAAGTTCATACTTCGTGCCGAGTTTACAAAAAGTTGGGGTCTGATGTTTGTAAGTCTATCAGGGATATTCTGAAGTCTTGAACCCTATCTTTGGATGACACTGGAACAATGGGGGGAAATTCGCCAAGCAGCTCCGTTGAATGCTGTATATATTGTCAGTGATGCCCGCAGACATCCTTAACGAATTTCAGCCCTCTTTACTCTGCATTCTCGTCACCCAATCCCCTTTTTGCAGCTTCGTTGCACCATTTGCTTCTTTCACTTGTCTGCCCAGCGTGACGCCACTAAGCCCCTCAATGCCACCCACGACTATCAGATCGTGAGTCTCGAGTTAAAGAATTTCAGCTTTCACCAGTTCGATGTATGCACCGGTGCTAACAACGGCAACGAGATTGCAATCTTTGGTGATTCTAAAGCCACGCCGCCTGAGAAGATATTCTCCCTGTCCTCCGTCGATGGGCAATTTGAGAACTTTGCGATGAAGTTGGACTTCAATGCCAAGTATGTACTCGATATAGGTCCCGAACGCCGAGCCCTTGCTAACTTGACAGGTAGTACAGCTCAAGTGTTCTACAGCACCGTACAAGAGCCCCTCCCGCAGGCAAGTGAGTCTTTTGCCAACGGTGAGATCTCAAATTTTTTTTCCATGACCAGGCAGAAGCAGACTGAATAAGTCCTGATCTTGCCGGCTTCAGCGTATACTGCTTCGCTTTGGCAGAAAAACCCTGTCGGGGACGCTCCCCAGCCCGAAGGCATCCAACAGGCGCTGATCTTGGGTAGCATTTCCATGGAAGACTCTACGGATGGTATGGCCACCCTTCGGTGAATGAAGTGCATTAAATCATCATTAGGCTAGTCTTGTCGCGGCTAGCGTTAGCGAAAACTCGCCATCATGAAAAGAAGTCTCTACGTATATAGGTCGCGATGTGGTATCCCATAATCCACGGTGCCAACTTGACATGAAGACCTTATTCTTAAATGTCTTATAGAGCCAGGGGGAGTCGTAGCTGTCTGAGCTCTGGAGATATACATGTCGCATAGGTCCTCGGAGTTGTGATCGTCTCGGGTTGCCAAGCTTGTTAATGACCTTAGTCCCGGCCCTCTTCAAGAAGAGGAAATGCCCCCATTGAATCTACTAAAAGATGGCAAAATCTTCATACTATCATTACTAAAAAGATACTTTCTTTTTACAACTCATGTTGGTCTTCTACTTGTTGGCAAATGGCTTTCCTCTTGTATATTTCCTGTCGTAGCGTCAAGCTCGTACACAGAATTCGTGCCGTCCATCTCGAATCGAGGTTCCATGATCTCAATTTCGTTCACTCGCCGCCTTTTGCTACCACCTGCCTGAGCCCCCTAGAGTTTCAACTCACTTTCCTCCTTAGATAAAGGAAAAGTCCTACAGCTATCAAGGCGACGATAGCCACACCGCCGACGGCTGCTCCAGCGAAAACTCCGCTGGATGCCCCAGAAGATTCAACATTATTCTTGCTCAAGATATAATACCTAACGTACCCAACTCTTGTCCCCGAAAGTCCTCCAGCATGGCATTGATTCCAACATCGGCCCGTTCGTGATTATCGAAGACCTTGGGTCCCGAACCAGTTGACAATGCTCAAAGTATTGGTTGATCTGTGTTGTTGGTTATTGACTCAAACATGAAAACTAGCTGCCTCCGCATCGCTGCGATGTGCATGGAGTCACCGCCGTATCGATTGGTAGCTTCAAACCGACAGCGCAAACCCGAGGCATCAACTGCTCTGAAATGAAAGTCAAGAACTCTTGACTTTGTTAGGCACCAGCCACAATATTATCTTCCGCCACAAGCCAATAAGTGGCGTTAGCCGGTGCGAATACTTCCAAACCATCAAACCTTGATGAAAAACCGCCAGCACATTCAATCCCACTAGGCTAGGCTTATCGGGTATTCCATGGAGCTTCCCGACAGGTTAGAGCGACTGTTACGCTTGTCTTGATCGGGCTTCAAATTAGAGTTTTTAAACTTCCGGGAGCCTTCAGTAACTTTTAAATTTCCGGGAAAATAGAAAACTCGACGGTCATGTTCCGGACAGACTTGTCGGCACTCCCCAGCAATGACAGGCTTTCATGCCATCAGACATGATTACCCCTTGGGACGCGGCGACGGCCACGGTCCTATCAAGGTTCAATGGCCATCCTCTGGACCAAGCAGCCAAGGCTGGAATAGAAGCCTAGGGAGGTTGGCACTGTTACGCTCCACTCGCTGCTGTTTAGATGTTTGTCTCTGAGAGTCGGATTATTTGCCAGGAATGTGAAAACAGGTCTGGAGATAAGTGGAATGTGTTGGTGTGTCGGTCGCACGGTGGATTCCCAGCCACACGAAATTGAGTGGATCTGAGGATTCTGCTTTTGGGTTCGTCCTTATCTCGATGTGACATTCTAGGCATCGTCTTATCAGCAGCGAGTCAAACCAAGGTGTACCGGTAGTTGCAGGGTCAAAGGTTAGCGGTAGATGGTTCCGAATCCCAATCACCGAAGATACGGGATAATAGTAGCATGCGAGCTGTCGAGATCGCACCAGTCACTCGCGATTCTCTTCAAAAGCGATGTGACTTGCTTGCCTGGTAGGTGACCATCTAGATCCCAGCACGCCATTGCTTTGACGTAAAGTTGAGGATCAATCGAGAATCTTTCTCCTCCAAACTGCCAACATATGTTGCGTTCTTGAAACAGCATTGTCTTTGAGGTTGCGCCGGCTCCCTGCTATAAGAAACAACGAGGTGAACTTGGAAAAAAGACGACAGGAACCTCGTATTGTGCCACAACCCGTCAGAGTTTCCTCCCTAAAGGCCGTTCGGTTCATCCCAGGCTCGTTTGCGTGAGGGTCGGGCCTATACCATGCCACAATTCGCCCCATTTTGTAGTTGACTCGATGAGATCGAGTAATGGATTTTTCAAGCATGCGGGGTTTTGCGACCAACGATAAGCTACCCCTGCCAGAGAGAGCTAGCTTATCAAACGTATTATGGTGGCTGCACCGTCCCATGCCGGGTATCATGGGGGGCATGTCCTGCCCGGCGGGAGCCGTTCCTCGTCACTCATGGGACGGGGTCCTTGTGCCACTTCCCACGCCCCAGATAAGAACATTTCCTTGGAACGAACCAATAACGAACGCAAGAAAAAGGGCCCAGGAAAGCAGATTTTTGCAGGGCTTGTCCTCTTACTCGGTCAGATTAGACGTTGCTGCTGCTCTCGAGGCCGTTCGAACTGCTGTAATCGCGGCGAGACCGGCCACCCTTGCCTGAAAGCGATTCGTGGCTTGCCTCGCGTGCGCACCCCATGCCCGCTCTCCTCTCCCAAACTTCTCTGGGCGAGAGGGCATAGAGGATGCAGACGAGATTGGAGAGCTTGTCAATGTGGGGGTGGCGTCAGTGCGATTTCCGGGTCTATCAGTCGATGCCGCTCGACACGCGGAGCTAGCGGCCGATTAGTTTTTCGAGGCTAACGAGGTTCCATGTTTCTTTATCGGCCTCCCCATACCGAGAGCGACACCGGCCCAGTAAGTAAAATAAATATCTGGCGACCTCCTCCATTGTTTGGCCGCCAATGCCCTGTGAAGGGAGACCAACTGGAGCGTTCCCCTCAGTCAACAGCCTTGGAATTGCCACTGTTTGGGCTGTTATCCGTGCAGATCTTAATCCGTCTCACCGTCCAACCCAATTTTCTGGCTCTCGGCCCATTGCTCCACGTGCATAGCGTCATCGCAACGTCTGACGGTCTTCGTTCCGGTCTTCAAACGGCTTGGAGCCTCTTAGACTTGCCTTTGACCGGCGTTGCTCGACCGAAACAAGACACCGCACACACATCCCTCGTCGCTTTGCTTGGACTGCCGAGATGGGCATGGATACCGCGACCACTACCGCCAGGCCGGACAAGGCCCACACCTCGAAATGGAGATACTGGGCCGACAAAATCGCCGTCACGTCGGAACCCGGGCTTACCAGCGCACAGCTGATGGTATGGATCTGCCCGCCCAGTGAACTTATGGGCATCTGAGTAGAGGCTGAGCTGACAATCGCGTTTCGTAGCTCACCAACTATGACCTGAAACCGTAAGCATCTGGCATTGAATGCCGTTCGTGTAGCCTGTGGTGGCCTCGTTACTGACAGTTGAAAAGTGTCGAGCCCGAGAGACGGCAGTGGGGTCCTTGGAACTTCGTGGCCTTCTGGATCGCTGATTCCTTCAACGTCAACACTTGGATGATCTCATCTTCCATGATCGTCAACGGTCTCTCATGGTGGCAGTCGTGGCTCTGTGTCTGGATAGGCTACGCCATTGCCGGTTGCTTCATTTGTTTAACCGGTCGTATAGGCGCCCAGTACCACATCGGTTTCCCCGTCGTCAACAGGTCCTCTTTTGGCATCTGGGGTAGTCTGTGGCCTGTCTTCAACCGTGCGGCTATGGGTATGTCTGACAGCATTCCTACCCATAAGAGCGTTTGTTGATTTTGGCCAGCTTGTGTCTGGTACGGTGTTCAGTCTTACATTGGAGGCCACTGCGTTTATCTCATGATTCGTTCGATCTGGAAGTCGTGGGTGAGTAGCATCAGCCGGTTTCAGAGCCATGTCCGAATGTCACAACCTAACCACGCCCCAGGACCGCGATGAGATCCCCAATACTTTCCCCGAGGATTCCGGCACCACCACGGCGGACTGGGTTTCGTTTTTCATTTTCTGGCTCTGCTCCCTGCCCGCCATTTGGTTTCCAGTTCACAAGATTCGCCACTTGTTTACGGTCAAGTCATACGCCGTCCCCTGCGCTGGAATCGCCTTCATGATCTGGGCCATCGTTCGTGCTGGTGGTATCGGCCCCGTAGTCCGCCAACCCGCCAAGAAGCAGGGTAGTGAGCTTGCCTGGGAATTCGTCAAGGGTGTCATGTCTTCCATCGCCAACTTCGCGACGCTCATCGTCAACGACCCCGATTTCTCCCGTTTCGCCTCAAAGCCCCGCGATGCGCTGTGGTCTCAGTTTTTCACAATTCCCATTGGCTTCGCCTTGACCTCATTCATTGGCATCATGGTCTCATCATCCTCGGTGGTCATCTACGGCAAGGAGATCTGGGATCCGCTCGACCTCCTTGAAAAGTTCATTGACGACGGCGGCTCGGGCCAGAGATTCGGCGTCTTTGTGATTGCCGCAGCGTTCGCCTTGGCTCAACTCGGAACTAACATCGCCGCCAATTCGGTCTCGGCCGGTACTGATATGACGGCTCTGCTACCTCGATGGCTCAGCATCCGCCGCGGTGGATACATCTGTGCTGCCGTGGGTCTGGCCATGTGCCCGTACACGCTGCTCACCACCTCCAATCAGTTCACCACGTACTTGTCGGCGTACAGTGTTTTCCTCAGCTCTATCGCCGGCGTCATGTGCTCCGATTACTACTTTGTCCGCAGGGGATATCTCGAGGTCAAGGAACTATACGATGCGCGCAAGACCGGACCGTACTATTTCACCTACGGATTTCACTGGCGCGGCTATGCTGCATACATCTCCGGGATCTTGATTAACGTCGTTGGATTTGCGGGCGAGATCGGTCGAGATGTGCCCGCAGGTGCCACCTATATCTACAACCTCAATTTCTTTGCTGGCTTCATTGTCTCAAGTGGCATGTACTGGGGCCTGTGCAAGTTGTCTCCGATTCCTGCCTGCAGCGATAGGTGGATGGAGGTTGGAGAGGAGATTGACGACATCCGTGTTGCTTATAACGCCGACAGCCAGGACTTTGATGAGGAGATTGTGACTGGTTCACCGAAGGGCATTGATGATGGATCGAAGCACATTTGAAAAAGGCGGTAGGGCTCGTAAGAGGAGACATGTTTGGATTTTAAGTGATACCATTGTAGTTGTACAAACTTGGAAGACATCAGAGAGAGATATTATATGAGACCTAGGAAGAAAAAGATTGATGTCTCGTGCGACCAATAATTTTCAATCAAAACCTAGAGATGATAATCAGGCGCAGTGTTCAATGATCTTACTTCAGTATATTAGCAAATTTAGAACCCAGAGTGTTTGCTTCAACGTATTTCCTTGTTTCGAGATACCTTATGGGCAGATTCTACTCGGTCTGTAGCACTAATTAGCAGTCGGAATTGATAGTTCATGGTACAAATCTATCTCTATTCTGAGTGTCCACCTCCCCATGAATGTTGTCACCAGAAGGGGAATCATGGTGCTCTTGGACTTCAAGGGTGTAAATGACCCGGCCACATATTTATCAAGTAGGCAACCGATCCAACTTTGGCCACAAAGCTGGATAGCTGGAAGTGAAGCTACTCGCAAAGTTAAATGTGAGAGTTGGTAAGTTGATTGTTAGGGTTGTTCTAGATTCGCTCATAACACTAGCCTTGTCACCTTTCGCCACCTAAAGCAGGCTCTGATGGGCTTGAATAATGGGCAATAGGAGGGTATCTCAGGGTAGCAAGGGTGCAGACAACCACTCGGGTGACAGCTCCACTGCGGCGGAGGAGCGAACAATTAATACTCGTCGGATTTGTGGATTTTGGCGGCTATAAAACATTGTTCTGTAATCCATGGGTACATGAAAGTTTGAACTTCAGGGTTCTCAGCCGCCATCAACCTCTTATATATGCGGCCCCTCTACCCGATCCCCTTCTCACATTCGTTTTCACTTCATGATCAATTTTACACCAGGCCGAATACCAAAAGTCAGCCTAAATATGCTCGCCACCGGTATTTTTACCCTCTTGTTTTCAACTCTCGTTCTCGCTCAAAGCGACAAGCCAGATGCGCCTGGGTACGACCGCTGGAGTGAAGGATGCCTGTACAAGCTCAACAATCTTATGGCTGGAAAGGGCGTGACGGATCAGCCCGGGTACGAAACCTTTGGCGGAACTTGCAAAGGCACTCGCGTCGTCAAGGAGAGGCTCAAGGCAGTATCGGTCCGTGAAGAGTGGATGTTGTACAGCTGTTGCCGAAAGAAGAACGGCGAGTTCGAGCATGTCAGAAAATTACCATTGCAAAACTGCCTTGCATTCAACGATGTAGGAGGGGGCACGCTGACCTGGCAAAAGGTGATGAGGTTAGTACTCTGACACTCTGTATAGTAAACAGGTCCTCCAAGGTATGCTAATGCAAAACTGCCGACAGCTACAGGCTCGCCGAAGCTTGCAAAGACTGCAAGGTGGTGGGCGAGTCGCAGAATGGGGCCCCCGGAGCTCATCTGCGTTGCAGTTGTGAGGCGCCCAGACGGGCAGCGAAGACTTACGAATTGCCCATCCATGCGAACATGTGGGCGGAGGGTGACGTCCAGGGCAGGCAACTGAGTAGATACCCTTGCGGTGTTAGTACGGGCTCGTTGGAGTGTGGCTGGGCATGGTGTGTTCACAATGCGTACCAGCATATTGATCCTCCGGGACACTGGCATGGTCCAGGCTCTCCTGATGCGAATGACTAGAAAATATAATTTCTGAACTCTACAAGTCACCTACTGCTATACTAGGCCAGGCACGCAGGTCACATATATATGTAGCTGCCTTCTGCGTCAATTACTGGGCAATACATCAATCTTCCACTCTACAACCCTACCCCTAGCACCTACCGATGTCAATTGACATCGACTTTTCTCGGGGCAAGGAGGAAGTAAATCTCATTCCTGGCTGGCCGTCCATGCAGAGTGGTACACCATCCAGCCGGGTCCGGGAGCGGGTCTTTGGAGGTTCCTTCCGGATCGGGATCTGTCGGCTGGTGCTTCTTTGCCCTCATTGGCCAATGCCATTCATATAACATCGACTATACTACATACGCAAGTGCTACATGTAAATCAACATTTGAGCGCAACAATTCTTGGCTCTAGAAATATTCTTGTCTTGAATAGAGTTTGATACTGGCTGCGTTAGCGAATTGATTCATCATTGATAAAAGTCCCAAGTCAGCCAGAAGATTGTGGCCCATGGGTTGAGTAGAATCGGATATAGATGACCACTATCGACCAGACTGGATAAACACAGAGCGCTCCAAAAAGAAATGAAAGATGATCTGTAATGAACCACAGCGTCTGGTTAATTGAGAGAGAAGTTTCTGTTCTTCCTAAGTCTACATACGAGAAAATTTCCGGGTAGAAATACCCTTGGTCATGTGGGTCTATCTTTTGATAATCCACATCTGTAGCGCTTACCGCTGGTACAAGCCACACAAAAGCTATACCAGCTTCACAACATGATCTGATTGTGTATTTCGTATTAGGATTAGAATCAAAAACTAAGTTCACTCGAAATACTAAATGCCAAATACCAAGACTCAATGAAATGCAATCTGGACCAGCGATGGTCGAAGTGTGGGGTTCATAATCGTTCCCAAAATTCCCTGATAACCCAGATTCAGGCGCCCTCCATAATTTACAGCCACTTCCGGGGCCTTTCAACTCGGTTGATCAAATTCGGCAGCCAAGTTCCCTATACCTTGGTATTTAGTAGACAGCTTCAAATCCGAACTGCCTGAAGCCCAGGCGGCCCCACCTCTCCTTGGCAGGGTTGACCAAGTCTCTCTTCTTTGGGGCTGCCACCTCCGCCTCCGGCTTTCCGAGTTTCCAAGTGATCGGTTCAGGCCACGCCCGGCTCATCTCCTTCTTCTCATCCGTCGCGGACCACTCCTCGACGGGGGCCACGCTCAGCCTCCCGTACCCCCTGAGCCGCTCGAGCATCTCCCGCGTGTTCTTCATGCCGTCGCCACGAGTAGCCCAGCCGCACCGCCGCATGCCGTCAAGGTGAAGCTCGGCTGCCGCGCGGAGACGATCGTCCTTGTCTGCGCCGCGAGTGGCTGTGAGATGCTCCTCGAGGTCGCATGCGACATCTAGATGGACGCGCCCAGCGTCGTGGAGGCGACTGGCATGCCGGAGAAGGTAAGTGAGACGGTTGGCGAAGTAGAGAGCCGAGTGATCCAGACCGCCACGAGATTGACGGACGTTGTAGTAAATGGTTTCGCACAGGTTGATGGCTTGGTCAAGGTGATCGGCAAGCTCGTGGGCGTTTACCAAAAAGGAGCCGATGGTGAGTACAACGTCGGGTGTCCAGTCACCGTAGTTGCGCTGTACCTCTCTCGACTTCCAAAGAGAGGTTAGAATAGTCTATTGAAGCCATGGTTAGTCAAAGTTCACCGTGAAGCCCACGTGCAGGGAGGGGGGGGCTTACCTCGAGCTCGTTCCATTTCTTCTGTTCACCAAGAAGATAAACCAAGCTGGAGATGTCCTCGAAGCGGAGACTGGCCAACTCGATTTTGTCCTCCTTAAGAGAACCCAGAACGTTCTCGATGACGTTTCGACTGGTTGTGAGCATGTTTTCCTTTTGCTTTGTGTCGGCTGTCTTCCAACTGTCCACGTTGATGCCAACCAAAATCTCGGCCAAGCGGAAGCCCCAGACGTAACAGTTGCGCTGATGGTAGAACCGCTGGGAGCTGGCGAATTCGAATGCGCACTTGGCAACGCTATTGGCCTTGGTAAAGTCGTTCTCCCGGACCATGAGTCGCCTGACGGACGTGTAGGCGGCTTTGCAGGACATGAGACCAATGTCGGCGGTTCCTGTATCGGCCGCGATTCCGCTGCCAATCTCGGTAAGCAACGATTCATAGAAGCTAAATGTGACATTGCTGTCCTGGCTTCCGAGGAATTTGCCATATCTTGCGGTAAAAAGGGAAAACAGCTTTTTGTCCAGCACCGACACGAAGCCTTTGCGGCCACGCGACTCCCAAACGTAACGAAGGCGAGCCGCGGGCTCGATAATGGTCTCAATCATGGTGGATTCAGTCACTGTTGACATGACAGACATGTATTGCTCGTAGAGGACCGTCTCGAGAAGCACGTCCGCCATGAGCTCCGAAAAGCTATAGGCCGCCTTGGACTCCCCGTTCAAAGCCTGCTCGAAAGAGATGAGAAACACCAGGTAGACCTTGCTGGACTGGCCAGAGACCTTGATGTTTATTCCCTGCTCAGCACCCTCAAATCCAGGGAAAAGGAGGAGGTAACGCAGCTGGCGGAGGAGGTCTTGGCCATGGTGCACCATGCCGGCAGAGATGTAGATGGACGCCAATGTTTTGGCAGCAGCGTGCAGGTTCACCGAGACCCTGACGTTGGTGATGACCTCGATGATGGAGAGCTGAAGAATCTGAGTGATAGAAGAGTGTGCCTCCTTGCTTCCAATCTTCTTGTACATCAAGACGATTTCCTTCAGCTTGGAAAGTGTCTTCTCATGCCACCAGCCAAACTCAATCTTGAGCTGTCCGTATATCTCAAGACTAACTCCGATTGCGCGTTCAATAGTAGTAGTAGTCGTTACCCTATTGGTTGTTATGACGGTAACATACAGCTTGGACAAGCGCTTCTTGATCGTCTTGACAGTCGTTTCTGAAACTATGTTGACATTCGTTGACTTCTTGATGATCTCCTCGTAGATAGTGATGGACTCGTGGCAGCGTTCACTGGAGCTTTCGCAAAGATTGGCCTGAGCGATCAAGGCCTTGATCACAATGGCAGCTGAGGCGCCAAATATCTTGGTAGCAGTCTCGCGATACTCGATTGTGATCTTGTAGCGGACGGAGAACTCTGCCTTGGCGTGGAACTCCAAGACATAGCGGTATCTCTCGTAGATGAGTTCAACGATCTCTTGGGTGAACTTGACCTCGCGGTTATGATGGATAAAGGTAGTCCACAGAGTCACACAGATCTTCTGGAGCTCAGCCCAGCGTTTCTCGGAGTGGTAGTGGTTGAGAACGACGATGGCTGCGTCGAGTGCACTACCGTGGCAGCAGCCATCCTTTGAAAAGATTGTTACAATTTCGGTGTAACAATCATAAGCCTCCTTGCGGCCTAGCTTGTGGTAGACAGCAGCAAGCTTGTAGAGAACCTGGACAGTCATGTTGTGGCCGGCGCCCAGATGCTTCCGGTAGTGCTGTAGGAGCTTGGTGTAGGTTTCGATTACCTTTTCGTGGCGGTGGAAATCCTCGTAGAACTGAACGAGAGCCTCTGCAGACTCAAGAATCAAGAGATTTTCGACTTTCAAATTAAAGAAGCAGGCATTGTAAATGCGGAGATAAATCTCGTCCGCTCTTTCAAACTGCCTCTGGCGGTGGTAGCACATAGCGAGTCGCTGAGCGACTCTTACGCGCTCGGATATGAATTCGCCCTGAATGGTCATAGTGTAGTCGACAGACAAGACGCTCTTCCATGTTATTTCAAGAGTCTTGCGAATTACGGCCTCGGCCTCAGCCCAATTCTCAAGTTTGAGGTAGAGGTTGACCATGGCCAGACAGGACTTGAAAAACTGCCGGTCGGTCTTGCCATGGCGGCAGCGCTGATAATTGGTCTCCCAAATCTCGCGGGTAACGGTCTCGACTATTGTGACGGACGTCTTCGTCTCGACGATGGTCTCGGTGATTTCTTCGACGACCTCTGTGATGATAGTGGTGGTGGAGATGGCCTCCTCGCTCTCAACTGTCTTTCTGTCCTTGAAGAAGCCCCAAACCTTCTTCAGAATGTTCATGGACACGCTGAGTATCCCAAAAGACCTAGCGATAACACCAAGCTCCTTGAGACGAATCATGATGGTCTCGGACTCAAAGCGCTGGTTTTCGTACTCTGACCAGACACAGATAATGATGTTACAGGCTTCTTCGTTCCGCTTTATGCGCTTGAGGAAATGAATGTACTCAAGAACGATGCTGATCTTCTCAACATGAAGCTCCGTCGTGGCCTTCGTACGGCAAGCCTCGAGGATGCCCCGCCAAATGCTGACGTAAAGCCTCTCCGCCTGGACGAGATACCCCTTGGCCTCGTAGTCGCGAGCCAAGCTGACAAGGATCTTGATGCAACGGACATCGGCGAGGGAAAGCTCTTCGGTGGTCCCAAAAATAACACCCAAATGGTCAATCTCGACACCCTTCTTGTTTCCTGCCTTGAGAACAATAGTCATATCTGAAATTTCTTCAGCAAGTTTGGAGCCTTTGCCGAATCGAGCGATGACGATGATATGAAGATCCTTGTAGATGGACATCGCGGCCTGTTCCTCCTTAATCTCAATATAGAGGCTGGCGAGAGCCTTGTACCACTTGATAACAGCGTCACTGCGACCACCCTGCTTGTTCTTCGAGATTTCGATCATGAACTTGATCATCTCCTCACGATGGGTGGCTGTGGTTGTCCGCTTAGTAAACGAAAGGGTCTCGGTGCACGCAAGGAACAAGTTGGTGCAGGAAACCACAAGCGGGCTAAACTTGTATAGAATGTTCCGGCCGAGATTTGAGGCCTTGTAGAAAAGCTCGGAGGCGATCTCCCATTCCGCCCGTCGCCGATGAAGGCTTGCCAAGGTGATGAGGCTCTGGAGGTAGGGCATGCTCTTCTCGCCGAGACACGTATGCCGAATACGGAGACTCAGGTTATGCATATCAATAGTTTCCTGGATGTCGTACTGAGTTTGCCAGTAGTGCCATTCTAGCATGGAGAAAAAGGTTGAGTCAGGGAAGACTTCTTTGAACTCCGAGGTCAGGCTTATCGTGCCGTTTTGACCACACAAGGACGACGACCGGAAGTGAGAAATCCAATGACGCATCATGTAGTTGACGATGTGGCAGGCCTGGAAGACCTCCTGGAAGAATTCCTCGGCCACTAGCTCCAATGACGGCTCGCAATTGTGAGTGAACCTTTTCTTGGCGAAGAGGAGGAGGGCCATGGTAAGGTGGCGATGGGAGTCGCGAATAGACATCAGGGTTGATCCACAGAGACCCTGGATATACTTCCTGATGGTAGAGTGCTTGAATCGGAGTGTTCCACGGCGGACCACAACAAGACCCTGTGTGTCGCGCACAGTGCTCATAACATCGGCGTCAGAGGAAACGGCGCGAGTAGACAAAGATACGCCCAGGAGATCAGTCATCTCGCCAACCGTGAAGGGGCGTTCTGCGGCGACCAAAAAGGTGAGGAGGTTGTAGATCTTGCTTTCCCCATGCTTCTCCTTGAAGTTAACCTTTTTCATGAGCTCCCCGATGACAGCCTTGATGTCGGAATTGCATTTGGTGATTATGCCCACAAAAGTACCAAAGTTCGAGACTGCTGCGAACAGCTGTCTACAGAGGTATGCGAACAGGAATGAACCCCTAGCCAGATCGGCAATCTGCTTCACCAAGGCCCGTCTGGCGTCCGAATTTTGGGACATGAAGCAGTCGTTTTTGCTAAGCCTGTTGGCGAGATAGAGCTCAATATCATCACGGACGTGATCTGGCGTGATGACCAAATGCTTGCAGTGGCTGCCGCCAAGGTGGGATACGGGTCGTGAGAGAGTGACGGCCTGGATCAGCTGGAGTTTGCCGATGCTAGTGTGAAGGCGCTTGTGAAGCTCTTCTGCCTTGGCCGCGCCGCCCAAGACTTCATCCAGACCGTCAACGACGAGGACCAGATTAACCCTTTTGTTGTTAATAGAAGTCAGGCTCAAATCAAGAGCCGCCCATAGGTCCGACTCGAGCTTTTCGTTGTTATGGTGAGGAGATGTATGCTCAAAGATTGCTTCAAGTTTCTCAAAGAGTGAAACATCCCCGACGTTAATCTCGAGAAGCTGGGAGAGAAGGCTCTTCAGGAAAGCGATGGAGGTATCCTCCGAAGGGATTTCAGCTGCTAAGATAATATTAGTGAAGCTGACCTTTTTGGGTAACGTTTCGTCTTTCTGCTCACAGAATGTGTAAGAGATGGTCTCGTACTGAGTACGGTTGATGGGACGTTCCAGTCTTTCTCTCATCCATGTAGCAAGTATGCTTTTGCCACAGCCCTCACCTCCAGTGACGGTGAATATGTCTTTGTCGCTGCCAAGGAAGTCGTGTAGGTCACGGGAGAGCCATTCGCATGTGCCGTCGACCCGCAGTTTTCGATCGGCGACACGGCCATAGACATGCGACTTCACTGACTCCCTTGTGGGGAGCAGGTGTCGACGCAGGGTGGTAATGTCAAGACGACGGTTTTTGCTACCAAGTTTGTGTTGCCACATGTGATTGAAAAGATGCTCCCTCTGGGTCCAGATCTTGGTGACTTGCGAACCAAACTGAGCGTCAAAATCAAAACTGACCGACCCGCTGGAGACACTGCTAATACGTGTTCGGTAATGAATAGCAACGTCTCCGACGAGGCAGACCACGCTGTCGAAGATGCAGCTGAGCTCATAGCGAATGGCATCACTCGCAGTGAACATGCCTTTGAGTCTAACGGCATGGCCGAGCAGTAGGCCAAGCTCGTAGAGGGCATTGAACGTCGGCTCCAAAGCTTGAGCCTGGTCATGGCCGAGCTATCAAAGGGCGTTAGGGCGGTACTATGAGAGGTCGGGTTGAGCTGTGACCTACCTCCAGCAACAGATGGCAAGTGGCCAAAGCCGTGTCTCGAACCAGGGTACAACCCTCGATAAAAGACTGGATGTGGCGAGAGTATCCGTCAAGCTGAAAACCGAAGAATTCGGCTGACTTCAACACGCGGTCCCATTGGCTTCCCTTTGGGGGCATGTGAACCAGACGCTCGTCGGCAATATAGGCAAGGTAAGCCTCGAGATCGATGCTCTGAAAGTGTTGATGGGAAACTTCCTCGACCTCGCGCACCAACTTCTTCTGGATGCGCCTGGCGGTGTCGATGACCCGTACAATCTTATAAGACATGTGTGCTTCGTTGGAGGCGACCATCGTCAGAGCGTCCAAGCTGATGGAGGACGACCGAGAGGTATCGCTGATGACGATCTCCTCGGCCTGAGAAGCATCAGGCTCCTCCTTGATGGAATGTCTGACCAGCGATGGCTGATTGGCTGGTGTATAAACAGACATCTTAGTATCAGGGGCGGGGGTTATGTTTTCGATGGACTCGGCAACGTCTGAGGCTAGAGACTGGAGCGACGAGGAAGTTGAGGTACGCTTCCGCCGGCCTATGTTAAGTCGATGAAACTTCAGTTGCAGTTCTCCAACAGAAAATCGAATCAATAGAAAGGGGGGTTTGGCAACACACTCAATGGGTTTTTGCGAAATCCAAGCATGATCAGGAGTTTGATGCTGTTTTCCACACTTGACTTCTCGGAGTCCAGGTTCCAATTTATAAAGGCAAGATTTACAACTTTATCATAAAGGCCTTGGAGAGCCAACTCTTCGTATTATGACCATTGAGGGCGATCTCCGAATCTTGCCAAGATAACGATCTCTGATTCTTCGTTGAGACATAGGCTTCCAAAGCTCATCCCTGACTGGAGGGGCTCGCAAACTCGCATTCTGCTGAACACGCTCGCGTCGAACGGGGCATGAGTAAGGGTATCTAGCTTGGCTGAAGTGGTAGAAATTCGCACATCAGAACAATGCAAAGCTGCCCCGTAGAGAACGCCCCCAGAAAGATAGACCTGAACAGAGACAAGTTTGCAGTGCGCGGGGAACGAATTGTCTGATATTCCCAACCATGTCTTGATTTAGGGCAACCCCGCTGTCAAATCTAGGAGAGTTGGATGTTAGAATTGGAGGTAAATCTCAAGATACGTGTTAATGAAGGCTTCATACCACCACGCTCATCACTAGCGGATGGCTAGAATGCATGGTCCAGATATTGGGCCTCGCATGTGGCAGTGAGCAGCAGGCGTTGATGGAACCGTTCAAGGCCGGCACTTGAATCGTAGATACTACCTTACTTTTGGTGATTAGATCCGGATGCAACTCCTGGGAACGGCGACAGTTTGATTTCGGCCTGCGGAGTACTATCACGATCAGGGAGCTAGATTAGTATGAACTGCGGCAACGATCAATCCCGTACTGTAGGGGACGCAGATCCCTCGATGGAAGCTGGAATGGCTCTCGTGGCTTGCACGCAGCCGACTGAACCGGACATGCCGAACGGTACACTAGACCGACTTAGGAAACCCCGGGCGTGTGTCTCTCCCGATATCCAGGCGCATGGCGGCACCCCTTGCGGACATGTAAGACCAGTACTTCCGACAAGTTAAAGCTATTGGCTCCTTTCATCATCAGCGACTAAGCCCTAGAAAACGGGGTAAGGTTGAAGAACGCAAGCATCAACGGATACGTCGCCAGCCAACTAGGAGAAGTATCAAAGTTTGCCAAGTTTCCTAGCCTTCAGCAGCACGATACCCTGGATCTGAAGCGATGGGAATGGCGATATTGACTATCACAGTGATATATGCACTTGATCTAGAAGATGGGTAAAACGGCCAAATTAGGTTAGAGACGAGGAAAAGGATTCCACATTGATCGTAACATGTCTCATTTGTTCTAAAGCTCTCAATGATTCGTAATAGCTTTCACATGTGGGGTTTTTGAGAAACAGGCAATATGAGACATCGCGCCGGCTAACATCAGCTATGGGGCGGCTGAAATAGAGCGGATTCCACCCTCGCTCCTTGTTGAGAAACAATTTCATACCAGTCGTTAAGCTTTGCGTGATAACATTCAGTAGACACTGGAAATCGTCAGATGCTGTGTCCAACGTCGCGACCGACCTCATCCTGAAAGCCCATCCCGTTGCGGATACGACTCTCGATCTCGACGACTCTCTTGGGTAGCATAAAGCCCAAGCCAAAGAAGACGAAGAAGGCCCACTTCCATCGGAACGGGTTGAAAGTGACGCTGAAGGCAAACCACCAGATGAGCTCAAGGTAAGTAAAGAAGTCAAAAGCACCTGTAGGAGAAGCGGATTTGAGAAGCTTGGTCATCTCAATCCAGGCCTTCATCCAGAACGGATGCGGTCTTGTCATGGGATCAATGAGGAACATGAGGAGAATCCTGGTGTAGATACCGATGTGCCAGTTACCGACGGTTCCAATGGCTGAAACGTATGTGCTGTGGTATGTTAGAGCTGACTGTTTTGATTTCGGGACAGAGAGTTGCTCACCAATTGATAGCAGAGATGGAGGGATGGGAAGGGGGGAAAGTCTGGAGGTACCAGTTGGGGGGCTGATACGGCTCATTGAAACAGTCATCAGGAAGGAAGTCCAAGGAGGGACGCTTGTAGCCAGTGGCCATGACGATGATGTCCGCAGGCACAACCTGTCTTCTGCCGGGCCCTCCCTTGGGGACGCCCTGCGCGCGTTTGTTGACAATGACACCGTCTGCAGTAAAGCCTTCAATGTCGCATCGAATCCACTCGGCACGGCCGGATCGAATAGTGTCCATGACGTGGCTGTTAACCATCGGCGTGTCCATGTAGATTCCCTTGTCATGGGGGGCAATCTCCTGAAGGTCTCGATAGAAAAGCTTTCGCAATAGAGTCTCGGGGATCCATGATAAGCGGGTTTCTTGACCCAAGATATTCATGGCGAGGAGCATGTTCACAATCGGGTTGCGGGGAATAATCCACTTGTCACTGCGAGACAGAATATAAGTTTTCTCGGCCTCCTCATCCACGGCAAACTCCAAGGCTTCGACAGCACTGGCGCCGCCGCCGATGACAACCATCTTCTTGCCCTTGGCGTTCTTTCTATACAGCTGTTAGCATCAGGATGTTTGATAAGAATTCCAAAAGTGGACATACCCGGTCAGCTGGCTGGAGTGGTAGACGTGACCCTTGAAGTCCTCGATACCCGGCAGACGGGGCATCTTGGGTTCAGCACAGGTCCCGACGGCGGCGATGATGCCTTCAAAGTGGCCATTGGCGGTGTTGTTGATAACCCATCTGCCCTTCTCATCCTGATAGACCTTCTCGACGGGCGTGTTGAACTTGGTGCGGGTTTCCAGGCCGTATTTGTGCCAAAGCTGCTTCACCTGGCTAAGAATCTGTTGTCTGTCCGGGTATCCGCGCTCCCACTTGACCGAGGGATGAAAACGGAACATCATTGAGTGGATTTGCAGGCTCGAAGAGTTGTTCACTTTCTGTAGTTGCTGTCAGCAGGCAGCACATCTAGCAGGATCGTTCCAAAAAGGGACATTACGCTCCAGATGCCGCCAAGGTTCTCGCGGCTACCAGCCTCGAAGATGACGACATCGAAGCCATGCCCAATGCAATGGGCGGCGGAGGTAACGCCAGTGATACCAGCTCCGATGACGGCGACCTTGGGCCGACTCAGGCGTGTGCTCGGCTCCGGTGGCGTGGGCGAGAAGATCTTGTCGGCAAACCATTGCCAGAGCTGGAAGATGAAGAGGAAGGGATGAAAGAAGGGGTTCTCGACGCGGGATTCGGAAGGCATGATTGCGAGTAGGCCACAGGCCTGGGTTTGGGTTTTGAAGTAGAGGTGTGCGGTGCAGAAGCACAGCAGTCGGTCGGATGGCTCTGCGGTAGAAATTGGAGAAGAATCAAAAAGCTCACGACGGGAAGAAAGGGAGAGGAGAGGGCAGCCAGCTATATCAACGAGTACGGGAATGTTTGCACGAGAAAGTGCCTTCCTACCTACTAGGGGGGGTGCTCCTCTCAAACACAAGCCTAGGAAGCTCCGGGAGCTTTGGGCAGCTCGACCGGCATGTGAGCGCAGTACGCTCCCCTCCTTCTCCTTCCCTAATACCCCTGGGCGCTATTTGCTAAACTAAAATAGGTAGGCAGACTTAGGTAGGTATGCACGAATACTTGACAAGGTAAGGTGCGAAAGGTGAGACGCCCGGCGAACAGGCCCACCCGATTGTGTACTGTTGACGTCACTAGGAACGCCAGGGACACCACGACCTGTTGAAACACGGTACTGAAGCATGTGAAGACGAGGACGGGGGCTACACGTCTCATCGACACAAAACTGGTGCGGACCCGACCCGCGACCTGGGGTTATAGGATGTACCTACCTTAGTTAGTGCCTTTATCGTTCTCTGATGGTCGAAAAACCATGTGCAAGTTCTAGGCATATGGAAAGAGGGCTGCAAAAGCCCATTGGTGACATCACTTTGTCGTTCTATAATATAGGGGCATATTGTACAGCAGAGAACCAAGGCCGAAAAAAGTGCTTGATACAGACAGGGCTTTGGTGCGGTAGGTGGGTGGGTTGGCCTACCTACATCACTGACTGGTAGGTGCCTATTAGAGCCGAAGAGCTAACGCCAAAGAGTCAATGTTCGTTCCATCGGGCCTTGAATGAGACGAGTTCCTGGCCGATCCGATTGGCATCCATCCCACTCCAGCATGGGACTCCGTCAACGGTATGGGAAAACATTGAAGACGATGAATTGAAAAAGAAGAGTAAAAGTATTTATCAGAAAGGGAAATAATGACAAGAATCAATTATGATCACACGAGGAGTACACTGCATCACAGCGAGCACACAATGGCGATGTGTTGTGGAAATATGGTTGGGTTGGCTGAGCCGCACTCGGCTCTTGGCATCTCGGCACATCCTCTCTCGCTTCTACACTAAGCGCTGATGCTCCGTCTACTTTTCAAGGGGGTATTTGCATCTCCGTCTATCGCTTGCCTCTATCGCGTCTGCCCGCCTCCAACATCTTAGCCTTCTTTTGGAATCTCTCGCCCATCTCCATCTGCCCACTGCCCCTTGGTCCGTCCGTCGTCTCTCTGCCACGCTTTCGGCTCTTGTCGAGCAGGTCGCGGGTGCCGCCACCACTCTTGCGCGCGGTGAGTCTGTTGATGCGATCGACACCTTCGCCCAGATCCCTCCATTCTTCTCCGCCGAACTGCATGCGACCGCTGCGACCCGTCCTTGCCGCCTCCTGCGCCTTTGCCTTCTTGCTCTGTGTGGGGAGGCGGACGAAGTTGGTTTCTTCGTACTCGCGACGCTCCTCTTCCGTCTTGCGGTCTGCCGCCGTCTTCATCCTGCGACCGCCGTTGACAATGGTTGTGCCGATACTGGGTTCCGCGATCGGTGCCGTCGACATTTCGTGCTCGATAAACTCATCCATGGTGGCAGACTTGAGCGGCCGACGGTCTGTCTTCTCCCGGCGCTCCGAGGGCATGACCGTAGGTGCGATCCTTGGCGGTTTGTAAACACCATCCTTTTGAGCAGTGGCAACTACAGCAGATGCAGCAGCCGGTCGTACAAAGGCGTCTGGTCGGGCTTGCAGGTGGGCTGCCTTCAGTTCCTCGTCCTCATCCTCGTCCTCGTCGCTACCGGAATCATCGTCGGATCCAGATTCGCCCGAGCCAGCACCCTCGGCAGCCTTCACAGCGTGGGCGTGGCGTTCAGCGTCGTCGGCAGCACGAAGGATCTTCTCAATCTGGTATCGTAACTTGTCCTCGAGAGGGCGGACACCCTTCTCGAGGTATAGCCTCAGCTCTACGAGCTTCTTGACGACCGTCTCTGTGGTGTCGTCGGCGTTTCCATTGCGGTTGGACTGGATCTTGGCGTTGCGTAGCTTGAGAAGAATCAAGAAGACGAGGTTCTGCAGGTAAGAGAGCAGAAGTTCGTTCTTGGTGTCGAGCAGAGAAATTCCGTTCTCGGGAGGTGCAATCGAAGTCTTGGGTGCAGCGTCCAGTGACGTTGTCAATGACTGCGTCAGTGAATCCAGCAGAGCTGGCAGAGTGCTTGGCGCCGCCATGATAAACCTGGCAGTGTTTTTTTATGTGTTTTTTGTTGGTGCTGGATGAAAATTGGAGGTCGTAGCGGAACAGAGGCGCGCGTTCGATCCAGGAAATTTTTCTTTGCGACCAACCGCCAAAGGGATCTGCGAAATGCGGGACCAGGTACGGCGGCGTCAGTGGGTCCCCTCAGAGGCTAGGATCCATGTTGCTGAGCCCCTGTCCTGTCAGCGCATCTGCCAGCAACTCTAGTACCTCAGGTATGAGCTTCCGGAATGACAATGGTCCGAGAATGCAGCTTAGTCCAGGTCCTAGGGGTGACGTGCCTGGGATGACTAAGCCAGGTTTGGGACAGTTGTTCGTGGGAGCAGGAGCTCTGCTTGAGGACGAGAAAGTTTAACGGTCCTGAGACATCTAAAGTTGACTGGTAATCTGTCCATCTTGAAGCAACAACTCTGCTTCTGCCCAGCACGATCGACAGCTCTCGATCTTCTTCTTGCACCGTTTGCTACTACGCCTTGTCAGGTGCAGCAGGAATTCGGATGATCCACCAGCTATAAGTCCCTTCGCGCTACCTACCTCACACATCCACGGGTATGTAATTGCGACTCTGGGAGTCATTCCCGGCTGTTTCAATTTTTTCGCTATTGTTTTTCTGGACGGCACCTCTCCTCCGTGTTGTGCCAAGGCTGATGACAGACGCATGAAAGAGGTACAGCAAATCAAACAAGATGCAACTAAGAGATATGGCGCCTTCATCGGCGGTGCTCGCCTCGCTGCTAGCCATTCCCCAGTTGGCGTCCGCATTTTACCTCCCAGGTGTTGCGCCGACATCATACAAGAAGGGCGACCTCGTTCCCCTCTACGTCAACAGCATCAAGCCCGTTGCCGCTCCATCCGACTCCCGATTACATGCGATCGATTCGTACGACTACTACCACCCTGGCTTCAAGTTCTGCGAGCCTACGCCCCGCCCTGAATATGTGTCGGAAAGCTTGGGCAGCATTCTGTTCGGTGATCGCATCATGACATCTCCGTTCGAACTCAAGATGAGGGTCAACGAGGAGTGCAAGTCCCTGTGCGCTCAGAAATACCCCCCGGCCGCCGTCGGATTCGTGAAGCGTCGCATTGAACAAGGCTATAGCTTGAATTGGCTGGTGGACGGCTTGCCTGCTGGGCAGCAGATTTACGATGACTTCACGAACACGACTTTCTACAACCCCGGGTTCCTGATTGGCGGCGACGACGAGAACGGCAACATCATCTTCAACAACCATTACGATATCAACATTGAGTACCACCCGGTTAACGGTGACGAGTCGCAATTGCGCGTTGTTGGTGTTGTGGTCGAGCCGAGCTCGCGTGCCTACCCGGGCTCACCGGACTGCACCAGCAAGGTGGAACCTATTATTTTCGGGGAGGACGGCACCGAGAAGGAAGTCAAGTTCTCGTACTCGGTAAACTGGGTCGAGTCTAAGACGGCTTGGGCCACGCGCTGGGACAAGTACTTGCATGTCTTCGACCCCAAGATCCACTGGTTCTGGCTTATTGACACTGCCATCATTGTTATCATTCTGATACTCACCGTCATGTCCATCCTGGTCAAGACCCTGAAGAAAGACATCGCCAGGTACAACCGCTTGGACCAGATCAACTTGGATGATCTCTCGGGTACCTCGGCCCTGGAAGACGGTGTCCAGGAGGATTCTGGATGGAAATTGGTCCACGGCGACGTTTTCCGCAACCCATCGAACCCTCTGCTCCTGTCAGTGCTCCTCGGAAATGGCGTTCAGCTTTTTGTTATGACCGGATTCACAATCTGCTTCGCTCTGCTCGGTTTCCTGTCACCCTCCAACCGCGGGTCGCTCGGAACGATTATCCTTCTCCTTTACACCTTGCTGGGCTTCGTTGGCGGCTACGTTTCTGCGAGAACGTACAAGTCACTCCAGGGTGAGAAGTGGAAGGTGAATATTGCGTTGACCCCGATCTTGGTACCGAGCATTGTTTTTGGGGCTTTCTTCCTCCTGGACCTCGTCCTCTGGGCGAAGGAATCTTCTGGCGCCGTACCCTTCACCACCATGCTGGTTATTATTGCCATCTGGTTCATTCTCTCGGTGCCCCTATCTTTTGCCGGGTCTTGGATGGGTTTCCGTGCCCCCGTGGTCGAGCCGCCTGTCAGGACCAACCAGATCCCCCGCCAGATCCCCCCTTCCACGACGTACCTCAAGCCGATCCCCAGTATGCTCATCGTTGGCCTCCTGCCTTTTGGCGCCATCTTTGTCGAGCTTTACTTCATCATGAGCTCCGTCTGGTTCAGCCGAATCTACTACATGTTCGGTTTCCTATTCCTCTCGTACGGTCTCATGATCGTCACAACGGCCGCAGTAACCATCCTGCTAGTGTACTTCCTCTTGTGCTCCGAGAACTACAACTGGCAATGGCGCTCGTTCCTCGCCGCAGGCATGAGCGGCGGTTACATCTTCCTCAACTGCCTCTTGTACCTGTTCACCAAGCTGAACCTCAGCAACCTGGCCGGCACCATACTCTATATCGGCTACAGCGCGCTCATTTCCTTCTTGTTCTTTATCCTCACGGGTAAGCCTCTCCCTGCCAGGTCCTGTTTGAACCCCCGCTGACAAACTCTTTACAGGATCCATTGGATACTTCGCCAGTTGGTGGTTTGTGAGGAAGATTTACGCCTCGATTAAGATTGATTAAACAGCCTTACATTTGGGCGTTAGCATGTGGCGTCTGGATCGCGCACCTGTACGAATATTCTTTGTAAAAAGTACTCACACCTTTAGCCTGCACCAGCGTTGTATTGTATTCTTGACGAGACGCTCTTGCACAGCCTAGCTGATGGGAAATACGCTAAATGGGTCGGCTCTCTTGTGAGATGGTAGACAGCATGGGTCGGTAGACGAAAAATGAACCGTTTCAGCAAAAAGAGAAAAACAGCGCCCGTTGCAACTGACTGGAAATGTGCCTCCTAGTGAAGCGTATACATAGTATAAATGAGCCGGCTCGCCGACTACTATTCATCATCATCGTCATCGTCCATGAGACTAGTGAACTGGAACTGCTTGCTCTTCCCGGCCGTCGAGGCACCCGCGCTAGCGGCAACGCTGTCGCGCCGGTACGCCTCCTGCTGCTCGCGGCGAATCTTCTCCATCTTCTCCCGGTACTCCCTATCCTTCCGCTCGTTCTCGAGCTTCTCTTGCTCCTCGCGGGCCCTGCGCTCCTCTTCCTCCTTGCGCTTCGCCTCGGCGATCTGCTGTGGGTCATAGCCCCGCGGGTCAATGCCCTTGTCCGACAGGTCCTGGTAGACGGCCATGGCTCCGCTGCGGATCTGGAATTCGTTGGGCCAGGGGATGAAGCTCGCGTTGAAGTGCGGGTTGAGGTGGTTCCGCAGGCCGTCGGGCAAGGACGTCGCGCCGCTCGTCGCGGCCGTCTGCTGGGTGCCCTGGAGGGCGTCCTGCAAGGGGCTACTGTTGGGCGCGCCCGAAGGGCCGGGGGTCTGGCTCTGGCTCGGTGTCGGGACAGCGCTGACGGGTTGGCTTTGGAAGCCGTTGGCGCCCGGGGTGTTGGGGTTGGTCGTCATGCTTGCATTCAGGTCCGGGCCTGGGGTGCCTCCGCCGCTCGTGAGACCGCCGCCGTTGATGAGAGCGGCAGGCGGCAGCGTGGTCTTGCTGATTCGGCGGGCGTAGTTTAGGAGCTCGTCATACTTGACAGGGTACTTGGGTCCGTCCGGGTAGACGGTGATCTGAGTGGTGGTTATGTCCTTACGGGTCGTCGCCAGGCTCTGAAGGGTCTCTCGGATCTGGGTATCGAGGGAGGAAGTAGTGGCTCGGAGCTGCTGCAAGCGAATGTGATTGTTCTGGTGGGTTTGGACTACGCGGGTGTGAACATTAGCTCGATCACAGGAAAGCTTCCGTGAGCTTGGTGCATACCCTCGTCGAGCCCCTTTGCGAGATCATTGTCGGCCTCGTACAGGTCCAATGCCTGCTTCGGGTGCGGGTGATATTTGGAAACTGACTCGATGAGAGTGGCAAGAGCCTTCTCAACGCGCTCGAAGCGCGTATCAATAACCTTATCCATGTTTACCTCGAGAGGGTTCCTGAAATCAGCCGACGCTGCTGGTCAAGCTGATGATGGTGCGGAGGATAGGAATTGGGGTGCAAGGCTGAGCATGGTTCGCTCGTAGTTCCGCTAAACCGCAGGTAGGACCCACCACATATCGCACGTTGATTGGTTGCAGGTTTCAATGTTTGCTCGCAGCCCGTAGCCTGAGGCGCATTGGAAATCCGGCCGGCTTTTCCCGCCGACAAACTCGCGCAACATCACCATTCTTTCACGGCGCTCCCTCTTTGCATCTGCAATTGAATCCCCCAGTTCGTTCGCACGACCACCACATTCAAGATGTCTTCTCCCGTACGTCACGACTGAAAAATGCCTAGAGCACACATCTCATCTGGCTTCGAAAGTATTTTTCTGCATGGCCCAAAACTGACACAACTCATCTGATCAGGCCGGTATTCAGTACCCTACCTACCGCAGCAAGTTCGGTCCCAAGTACGTCTTCGACTTTTCCCGCGATCTTACTTTCCTCATACCGTCGTCCCAACGAAACACCAGGATACGAATGCAACGAAGAGACGAACGAGCCCGGGGCACATATACGATGACATGATGGACTGACTGAACGGCTTTAGGTACCACAAGGTGCCCAATGTTGGCGGCTGGACCGTTTCCCAGGCCGTGAAGTTGTGAGTCGCTTTCCGGAATCAAGCCAGCGATTGCGAATATGGTCATTTTCGCAGGGTGGAGGACGTTTTGGGTTTGGGCCACTGCTGGACGGAATGCCGTTCGGTGCAGGACAGCGGGACAGGAGGGAAGCCGGACCACCGATTGATCGAGATGTGGACAATCGCGACTGCCAAAAGACTAAGCTGACGATTGACAATAGCGGAGCCCGTGCTGCCGGCTTCGGCGCTGCTGCCGGCATTGGCGCCCTCTTCTTCGCCTCTGGCATTCCCAGAATCCAGCGTGACATCCTCATGGTGCGACAAACCACATCCCTGCTCTGAAGACTGGCCGGGCTGTTTGCTGACCCCTTGTGCAGAAGATTCCCGTCATTGGCCAGATCTACGTGAAGGAGATCCCTCCCTCTGACAACGTATGTATTCCTCGCGAGGGAGAAATATGGGGCGAATATGCTAACGTGGTGATGACAGCCTTTCTAAATCCTCGACTCGGCCTGGGCGTGCTCTACCAGAATTGGGTTGGATTTGCAGCATTGCAGACTTGGAGTTGTGAGATTGAGGATTGTGCTTCCTTCGGGGCTTGTATAAAAGATAACAATAGACTCTCGAACTTCAGCCGGCGTTTGTTTTAACTCAGTGACATTGATAGTATATGCTCTCCCTATATCTTCATGTGAGGGAAGTTTAAAATCTGTTTGAGTAAGCAGCAAGAAGAAGATAATTAAAAAAAGAAAGAAAGAGAAAGAAGCCAAAGTTAGATGACCCCATGCGTGGTTTGTACCCAATCCATGCTCATGAAGGAAAGAAACGAACACCGTGCGTGGACAGTGCGAGTGCGCATGACTGCTCACTCACAGGCATTTGGCGAACTGTTCACTTTCTCACACTTCACTTACCAGCGTGAAAGGGGGCCATCACTGCAGGAGTTTGTTCGCCTAGTTTTCTTTTCAGGGTTCACAACCATTTTCCGCGTCCATTCTTTTCAACCGATTTCCTTTCCTTGCCCAAAGTCTCATTCGACCTCAACTAAATCATCACCTGCAGGTCTCATACCATATCCAGTCGTTCCTCTACAACCCTGCCCTTCTGGGCGCCTTGATCAGCATGAAGGCAGTCGAAGCTTTCGTCGACGGTCTCAACATCCTATCTGTTGTCATTCTCTACACGCTGCTATGGCTCATTACCCCGAAGATGCCAAACCCTGACCCTTCAGGTCCGAAGACGAATAAGGTCTACGACGTACTCATGCGGGTGTCATATATCATTATCTTCATCTTTGGCTGGATCTGGTGCAGCAACGTCATGGCCCATGTCGACAAGCCGTACTTGGTTAACTCATCCGCTCTCTTGCAATCCAGAATTCAAGACACTGACACACGTATAGGATGAGGTTTTTCACATTCCTCAAGCCCAAAAGTTCTGTCAGGGACGGTGGGATGAGTGGGACGACAAAATCACCACGCCTCCCGGGCTGTAAGTCATCCTTAACTCCTCTCTCCCAAAGCCCACGGAACCTGCGAAACTGACGAGCCCCCTCCAGATACATCCTTTCCAAGTACTACCTCCAGGTGATGATGAGACCCGAGTGCTCCATTCTTGACCTCCGCGGTGTCAACATTATTGCCGTTCTTGGCGTCGGCATCCTCGCAACGCACTGTCGCCACCTCCTCGAGACCCGCCGCCCCGATGGCCAGTCCCCGGCGCCGCCCGCCGTGCTTTCCTTCTACTCGATCCACCTAGGTTGGAACATCTCCCTTTTCCCTGTTCTCTTCTTCTTCTCGGGTCTGTATTACACAGATGTTGTCTCGACGCTGTCCGTGCTGGTGGCTTACTACCATCACCTCCGCCGAGTGCGCGAGGAGAGGAGCTCGTTGTTGAGCGATTGGTCGACCATTGTCCTCGGTGTCTTCACCCTCATCATGAGACAGACGAACGTCTTCTGGGTCGTCGTATACATGGGCGGTCTGGAGGCCGTAGCGGCCGTCAAGGCTCTACGCCCCCCGCCCGTACCGAAAGCTAGCATGGCGACCCTGGGGGAGTATGTCAGATTCTACGCCTGGAGATACTCTATCGGTGATGTCCATGACCCGCCCCTCAACACTGCATGGCCAGATGGTTGGCCCCCTTCTCCTCCTATTGACGCTCTCTGCTGACTGTCTCCAGATCTCTTCTTCTCTGCCCTGAGCATCAGCATCGCAACGCTGGCGAACCCTCTACGCATCCTGCGGAAAGTCTACCCGCACATCACCATCATGGCTCTCTTCGCCGGTTTCGTGTACTGGAACGGCGGCGTAGTATTAGGTTTGTTGACTCCCGCAGGTCTCGGTCTATCCGACTCTAACTCCCGACAGGTGACAAGTCCAACCACGTCGCGACGCTTCATCTAGCCCAGATACTCTACATCTGGCCCCTTTTCGCCTTTTTCTCCTTTCCGCTCTTCCTCCCTTCCGTCATCCACGTTCTTCGTTTCGTCCGTGGTGTCGCCAGCGCACTCTTCAGGAAGGCCGCCCCCAAGCCCGTGGGATCTGGCCCCTCGGTGCCGGACCGCAAGCACCTGCTGACTGACTCTTCCCGGATCGGCTCGTCCAAGAAGCAAAAGATCCGTCCCCAAGAATCAACCAACCTAGCAGGGTTTCCATCGACAGACTCTCTTGCAAGCTCGCCCATTCTGAATGCTCTCCAATTCCTCGTCCAATCCAAGTTCTACCATCTCGTCCTCACCCCTCTCCTTGTCCTCATTACCCTAGCCGTCGTCCGCTTCAACACCATCATCCACCCATTTACTCTGGCCGACAACAGGCACTACATGTTTTACGTCTTCCGGTACACAATCCGCCGTCCCGGCCTGTTCCGATACTACCTCGTCGTCCCCTACACCGTCGCCCGCTGGCTTTGCTGGGACGCCCTAAGCGGCTGCGGCCAGGGCGGGTTCTTGTCAGACCACACAGAGGACTGCTCGGGGAGGTACACTACCTTCCGCCCAGGCCCCTTTGAGAACAATCCATTCAGCTCGACTCTCCGGGCGCTCGCGGAGAAGCCGCCTGCGACGGAGCCCGCTGAGGAAACCGAAGCCACCGCGCCCGGCGACGAGAAGGGAGGAAAGGGTCGCTACGACCCCTTGGCCATTGTCACCCTTGCCGACCCGACCTCGCAGAGCACAGAGCCCCCCGCCACCTCCACCGCCATTCTTCTCCTCCTTGCCACGACCTTGTCTCTGATGACGGCGCCCCTCGTAGAGCCGCGTTACTTTATCCTCCCCTGGGTCTTCTGGCGCATTCTCGTCCCGGCGTGGAGACTCCACGATCACGCCGTCACGCACCCGGGCCTAACCAAGCTTGAGCATCTCCCGGGGCTGGGATCCCTCGTTAGGTTCGGCAAGAACTTTGACGTCCGACTCATACTGGAGACGCTGTGGTTCATGCTGATCAACGCGGTGACCATGTACATCTTCCTTGCTAAGCCGTATATGTGGAGGTCTGAGGATGGCAGAGTCCTGGAGAATGGTAGGATGCAACGCTTCATGTGGTAACTGGTTCCTTTACCGCGCCACGTAACCACCAGGCTTTGTTGAAGGAGAGTCACAAAATATGTGAAGTGTAGAGACAAATATAAGATATATAACCTGAACCGAGACGTTCGTTCACAGTTATGACTTTCTCAACTTAAAGCTTTTCTGTTGCACTTTATGTGCTCTACCCCTTGTCGGGTTCCTGTTTGTTTCGATAAAAGAGAATCATGAGTTCCAAACGCCGTCGACTTCCGTAATCCTTGTGGATTTGATGTCTCCCTTCCGGATGTGTCATTTGAGGTTATTTGTTGTGATGCTGTTTCCCTTGTGCCACCTATGTACTCATGTGATTCCCAACGCCCCCCTTCATGTCTGTTCATTCTTGCAACCATCTTACGTTCCCGCGAAGGGCATGACGGTTTTCTATAAACTCAGTCGATCCAAACTGAGGCGGTCGTTACTGCGTACCCTCCGGATGGTGCCGAGCTTGAAGAATTTCTCCTCGCCAGCGGCGGTCCGTCCACCGATGTACCATTTGTCGGCACCCAGCACGTCGCGGAACCCTTCGCTGCTGCTGTCGCTCCCGCGCCGTCGATTCGGGCCGCCGGGAATGGGAACGCCTCCACGCGGAGAATGTAGTGGGTATTGGTTCACGACCCCCGCGGACGAGCGCGTCGCTGAGTTCGCACTGCCGCCGTTGCCGGCGCTACTTGACGGTGCATTTGACGAGATGGCCCGGGGCGCTGATGCGGCGGACTGAGTTGTATAGGACGAGGACGAGGACGCTTGAGTGGAATGCTTGTTGGGCTGTTGTGACGAAAGTGTCGCGGCAGAGGGGGACTGTTGTCGGAAAGAGGCGAAGAAAGTGGAAAGGAAGAAGGGTCGTTGGGAGGGCATCGTGATTCTATCTGACCGTGATGGTGGCGGCCTCCGTCACAGTGTGGTGATGTTGTTGGGCAGGCGAAAGTAGCGATATTGTTATTCGAGGAAAGAGGGGAGACGTTCGTGTTTTGACGTAAGGGTGTATTCCTATTTGTGGAAGGGTTAAACCTAACACTGCGTTTGGGAACCCCTATACTCCCAGTATGATGGTCTTTCAGGTTGCTGGGGTTCAGTCTGTCACCCGTGCCCGAGCCGGGTCGATGCTGGGGCAGAACGTCCAAGCTTGCGGTACAAGACGGTTTCGCACGGGGAAGAGAAAATAAAAAGCCGTAGCAAAAAATCGATCAGGCTTGCTAGCGTTTGCCGACTGAAATAATCCAGAGGGAAATCGTCACGAGGAAAGTGCGTTGCTATCGCTGGTGATACGGCGGTGGGAGAGTGGAGGAACAGCCTCGATCATGCGTCCGGGTTTTCGATCGTCGAGACGTTGGAAACAAGCGATGGGCGTGGAGGTGCAGCGCAAACGCAGGCACGCAGGCAAGCAGGCAAACAGACAGTTGTTGGTTCGGGGAACGCGGGATACGGGCGGGATAGATGGATGGAGGAGGTTTGGTTATATGCGTATGTATGTACGGTCATCTACGGCGAGGGTCGGAGTGCTGTGGGCATGCCCTGGTTGTGTCGAGTCGACGTCGGGTCAGTCGCAAATGCTGAGGGGCAGGCGAGTCCTCGGCCACGGGCTTCGCGAGAGAGATGTATCCTGACGTCGATTTACTTGTGGCCCGCCAAACTGGATGTGGAAAAGGGGTGGGAGAGCATGGGGAGGAGACAGAGTGTGCGCGTCGGCTAGAAGGGGAATGTTGGTGGCACGGTGGGAAGGGGAAAAGCCGGGGGCACCTGCGTGTGGGCGAAAAGTTAAGTGACTCCTGCATCGCTGGCTCGCGGGACCATCGCCGCTCCCCTCGTTCGGCCAATCCCGGAAGGCAATACTGGGCGTGACGACCTCCGCGGGGTGCACGGATTGACCCCACCCGTGAGTAATCTTAGGTTTCCTATTGGTCCAGGCTTCCCCTTGGCATCCTGGTCAAACAGGGCACGTACCGGCTCCCCGCTATGCGCGTTGCGTGTGGGGGATTCGGGCTTCTGGAAATGTCACTCAACAAGCGACCGACGGTTCCATCCTCCAGTCACGAGCGCTTCTTATCTTATCCGAGGTCGAACGAACCACTCACTTGGTACTGCGTGGCTTTCATTCCTGGCAGGTTACATCCTAGCTAGCTTGGTCTCTGGGACCAGAAGTGCGACCCGATACCTTGTAGTAATCAACAGTCGACGACCAACAAACATGCATCGTACTTCTTCGGACGCCGCCGACCACACTCAGCCTCCGTTGCGCCGACATACATACTTCATCAGAATCTTGGAACTTGCCTTTGAGCGGGGGGGCCTGCGTCTGCGACTACCAACTCAGAAAGCTCTGACTCCTCTCCCTCCTCCCAACCTTGTCGAACTCCCGCCCCCTTGGTTCAAAGATTGAAGTGAGGCGGCCTACTTTCTTGGTGAAGGGGACGCACAGCTGTTGTACAGGTACGTACATGCTACCTTGCACGGTGCAAGGGGGCTGCGCTGCACTTCAGACGATGCGACCAATAAGCTGACCATTTTCATAGCAAGGGAGAACCTTTCTGCAGCAATGTCGTAATGCCCAACTCGAACGGCGGGATTGAATATTTCGGCTTTGCTCCAATGTTGCTGCTTAAAGTCCTGCTCGAGCCTCAGTTCATCGCCGGTCCCATGGCTTGTGGAGCTCGCGGATGGAGCCTTGATAGGCGCACAGCTGTGACCAGTGGTGAGCTAGCAGGGCCATCACGGGGATGCAGCTGGGCCCAGGACCGGCTCCATCGATTGTGAGCTAATCAACTGTAAGTTGCTGTAGAGTGGCTGCACTGCGAACCCGAGCTGCAAACCTGTGCTGATGAGTGTTAACCAAGCCGTCCAACGAGCAACCAGAAAGGTTATGATCACGCCGTGAGAGCCTTACGCCGAGTCCCCAGAAAAAAAACCACTAGTTATTACAAAGGGAATACCACCCAACGACAACGAGAAGAACCGCCAGCTACATCCTGTCTTTAATATTTCATCGGTTATATTGCCCGTGGTCTTGTGTAAGCTAATATCTAATAAGTTATAACCCAGGATATTGCCAATTCCTTACGCAGCCTGACGAATACCCGGACTCGAGTGGTCGCCGTGGCTCAGCCGCCGTCTGTCCAGTGTGGCTGAAGTCTGCGGCCTAGCATTAACTACAGGCTTAGTAAGTTATCTAGTATTGCCTTCGCGTATTGACATATTTGGAAATGACGTTTCTCTTCCAGTCGGGCTACCATGCTGTTTCAGTCATATACCACAGCAGGCCCGGATGTTACCGCTGTGTCAGTTGCCATGATTGTTTCAAGTATCTCATGATACACACGTCGCGGCTGCAGCTAACATGGAGACCGTGGCTCTAGTCGGGGCTATTAGCCGTAGCCGTTGCTTTAGTTGTTAATGTGAATGTGATAACTACGGTTACTAATACATAGATAGCACTGGAATTTTGCACAACTGCCATGGCTACCCCGGCATAAATCACCATACTTTAGCCAGCACAGCTGTCGCTCCAGTCACTGCTAACCTCCTTACTAACATCCAGCCTTCAGCCGGTTGGCATTCAACGTAAATATCACGTCCGTTGAAGTGTCAAAGCCACCGTAACCGTTACCGCTATATGAACCCAACATACAGCAGCGTCTTACATAGGTGCCGCGGTCAGCACAACCCTAACCCAAGAACTCCTATGATCAACCTTCCAGAACCTTCAATCCCGATGATTTCATTTACCTTCCATCCTCTTATCTAGAGGCGCTCCCGTTTACCGGGAGAGATCCTTTCTTGTGGGGTTCTTCGGATTGCTTAGCCTGGAGGTACCGTACCGCCTGCGGCGAGGAACGAGCGTCATTGCGAGATGTAGCTATTAGAGCACAAGAGGCAGTAAACCAGCAAAATGGTTACTTCGGCTGTGAGAACGATCATGCGACCGTACGGAAGGAACAGGAAACCGAACATGGCCGAACAGGGCGAGCAGCGACGGTCGGGTGAGCTAACGATGCAGGGGTCACCAAGGCCACTTACCTTTCGTCCACAAACACGCAGGTGCCCCAGCCTTTTTCCTTTCCAACCCCTTCATACCGTTCTCATCTCCATTTTCCTTGGGGCTGGTGTACAACGGCAATAGTCCGAAGAAGCAATCAAGATTAGGATCGGGATGAAATGGGTTCGAAAACGGCGTCACCGTTGTGAACCATCAAGGAACGGCATGTTGACATCCGACGGCTTCACCTTGATTTCATTCCTATCCAAGCAAGATCTTCCTTTGGATTTGACGTGGGCCGATGGCGGTCTACAAAGCGTGGGTGTCAATTTCACCCTTGATCTCCTCATGCAGGTGGTAGATTTGAGGTTGGCGATGCTACCCATGGCTATAGAGTCTCTCTAACAGGCGCTTCTAAGTCTCCCCAGTCGATTGCATGTCGATAATCCCCAGTATATGGATTGGGAAAACATACTGGAAGGCCGTTGTGGTTGTAGACTTTTGACATCCCCGCAATGCTCTGTACTCCTTCCGACGAAAAGGAGGTGTCTTGTCTCCGAAAGTCTTGCATAGCAACGTCTTTCTCGGCGTGTGGCATAACGTCAAAAGTAGACAAATGGCCAGCCTTGCTATGTGAGCTATGTGTTTTCATTGCTATTAACAATACACAAGTTAGGGAACAGTCGCGTTCTGCGACATCTAGGATTGTTGCTAAGCCACGCAAGGCTGGCCAGATGAAGAAATAAGAGCATTTCAGCTGAGAAAAACAGCCTAATTGTGGTGGCTGTCAGCGATCCCCGCGAATACTCACGGGCCTGCCTTGCTCGACGCCTTGGACACCATAACCAAGGAGGTAAATCCTTCTATGGTGGCTGGAGGCTACATCCCTGTGATATACAAACGTCATACCCTGAAAATGTCTTGCAATATGTTCTGCTAGATAATATATAAACCGCTAGGGATCCCTTACAGCCTGATGATAGTAACCGTAACTATTGAGCGATACCTTGACAACAATAATCCGCCGCTATGGCGCTCGTTTATCACCCAGGAATAGGGCTGGTAATTGCCTCTGTCTTTCTCTTTTTCAACACTGTCTATTTAATTCTCGAATGAGCTATTCCGAAGCTACGTTTTCGTCTTAAAGACCGACGGCGGCGTAATCGGATGACAGTCACTCGGTATCTTGCCATGCCGTCCTTCATGGTTCTGCTGGGGATCATTCTTATTCTTTTTCTTTTTCTTGGGAAACAGGCACACGATGAGCTTTGCAACAATTCGAAGATCCATGTCGAAGCGGATATTGCCAGTCTCGGCATTCGAATCGCATCACGGGCACAAATTTGTATCTTGCTCTTCATCGCTTTACTCGGCACTTTCCATGCTCTCGTTACAATGGCCAAGGAGGTAGGGGCTGGTCTTGTGGTGACGCACCTCTCTCTGCCATTGCTCTTCTCATCCAGATTTACAGAGAGGACACCAAAATATATTTGGCCGACAAAGTTCTGGGCTCGATGATTCTCGACGCCTAAAACGTTGCTCTCTCCATCTCGCTGGTTACCAAGGAAACCCTGGCAGCTCGCTGGCAAGTGGTAGTTACTGTGGTGTGCCAAACATTCGGCCTCCTTCTCCTAGGCATTGTTGTCAACGATTTTGGCAACGACATGACCGAAATATGTTTGTCAGCTGCTTGGTGGGGTGATGTGGGCGCCTGCACTGAATCGCCAGCCTCTAATACCATCGTTCGCCGCGACATGAAGGCTTTCTGGATATACTACGCTTTCAGATGGCTTTCACTCTTCCAAAGCAGCTTCCACTCGCTTATGAGCATGAGTGCTTTCCACAAAGCCGAAAATAACAATGAGTTGCACCTGGATAATCTTACATTTCCTCAACTGCTCTTGGAAAGGTCAGGCCTGAGAAGATGGATTAACAGGTCCCGATATGGCCCCCGCTCGTACAGAAAATACACAATTACTGTCTCTCTGGCCTTCCTGGTATATGCCTTATTTGATATAGTGTCGATGGCTGCGGCCGAGAACTTATCATGGGACCTGTGTAGGCATACCAGTGGTGATACAGGTATATCTTTCGGCCGAGCTGTTGCCATTGTTGATTCAGCGGCGAATCTCCTGCGAGGTATCTGGTTACTGTACAATATATTAAAGCACCGACAAAACTTCCACGGACCCTTTGAGGCGGAGGAGGGTTTAATATGACGCTGGTGGGTTATGTGCACATAGACCTTTCCCAGACAGTATAAGGATAACTTGGAGGTTACAAATAGACTTGTTTTCTACCTATAAGGCCTATCTTGTGTTAGGCACTTTATAAATACGAAATCATCTCTGGTTGAGGTGCTCTATGCCTTGGTCCTTGGTGATGGCGGGTGCATTCGGCGACCAGCCCGGGTCGGCTCCGAGAAGGAACCACTCTCGGCCGCCGAGTGGCTGCCAAAGATGCGGAGCAATGAGCCACAGCACGTGACCAAACGAGTACCACCCGAGGGATGCAAGCCACCCATTTCTAAGCGGAAGATTCCAGAACGCAACAACAACAACCGCTCAACCCGGGCGAAGGTGGGGTCGGTCGACAGAGAGACCCCTAGAATCAAATCCATCGGCGCCGGTTCGCTGACGGCGTCCCGTCTTTGAACGAGTGCACTGCTCACCTCACACCTGACGCAGTCCGATGCAGCACGTCAGCGTTGGCAACGGTAGACGGGCTGTGTTTTCTTCCCAAGTTGCACATTGCTCTTGACGCCCCAAGGCTGACTAGTGAGCTGGGCTGCAGCGACCGGCTTGCCCAACCGTGCTATCAGTTTCCGCCCGTATAGCCATGGTCTCCTAGCCCCCGGACTCGATCCCAAAACCCGTCTGATCCGCGCAAACCCACGGCCTAAGTAGAACAATCTCCCGGCTTCTGCAGCACTGCCCATCCTCCTGTAGGCTATTTTTTATCTTTATTTTTTCTACCTCAACGTTCCTCCGTAGACTGACTCTTGCTTCTCTCGGTAGCCCCCAGTCCGGCAAACCTTGCTGCGTTCTCCGGGTTTCGATTCCGCTGTCGATCCGGTTTATACTTCGACTTCATCAACAAATACACTACTCAGCCAAACCGCTGCATTTTATTTCAGCTCTCCATCGCAACTCACACACACACGACACACAATGTCGAGGTCAATTCAACTCAAGGAAGAGGGCAACCGCCACTTCCAACAAGGCGACTATGCCGGCGCAGAGGCGTTGTACTCGAAAGCGTAAGCCTTCCCTCTCCTTCGATCGGACACTTTCGGCCAAACCTCCGACTTGGTGCCCTTATTGCGTACCTACCTCCCCAGCTACAAAGGCACTAGGATTAATCACGGTGCTGATGTTTCGTCTTCAATAGCATCATAGCCGACCCCAAAAACCCCGCTCTGTACACGAACCGCGCCATGGCGCGCCTCAAGCTCGAAATTTGGGACGCGGTCGTCTCCGACTGCGAATCGTGCCTCGGCCTCACCCCCGACAACCTCAAGGCTCACTACTACCTCTCCCAAGCACAGCTGGCTTTGAAAGACTACGACTCAGCCCTCACAAACGCCCAGAAGGCCCATCAGCTCTGTGTGCAGATTGGTGATAAATCGCTAGCTGCCATTACCGCACAGGTCCTTCGGGCAAAGAAGGAGCGGTGGGATTGGATGGAAAAGACACGTACCAGAGAAGCGCGCCACCTAGAAAATGAGGTCATTGACTTGATGGAGAAGGAGCGTGAACAGGCTGTCGCCAACGCCGTGGACGACGGGGAGAAGAGAGAGATCGAGGCTGAGTGGGAGCAGAAGATCGCCATTTTGAGGGACACTTTTGAGAAGAGCCGATCTGCGGAGGAGAAAAGGCGGGAGGTTCCGGAGTGGGCTATCGACGATATCAGCTTTGGTGTCATGGTTGATCCGGTTATTGTCAGTCAGCTTGTAACGCCGCTTCTGCGAATGGCCTCAACTAACATGCGTGCAGACCAAAACCGGAAAGTCATACGAAAGAGCATCCATCATGGAGCACTTGCGTCGTCACCCCAGCGATCCCCTCACCCGTGAGCCCCTCTTGCCGTCGGAGCTCAGGCCCAATCTTGGTCTCAGGCAGGCGTGCGAAGAGTTCCTCGAACAAAATGGCTGGGCGGTAGACTGGTGATGTAACCAGAAGCCTCCTTATCCATCGTCCATGTTGGAGACAGTTTTTCTTTCGAAAATGCATAGCACGGCGTTAAAGGGCAGATTGCAAATGAGACACCGAGTCGGACTCGGTTGAACAAATGATCCTTTCCGATCCAAGAGCAATCAGGGGGGGTGTGAGGTTTATATCTGGACTACCAATATACCGAGTTTCAACCAACTAGAAGTCCTCGTCTAGGCTTTTCTCGTTGATACATATACACAACAAAATGTTACTACCCATTATACACGGGGCTCGGCCCTGTGATGTGAGACATTGCTACCACTCAAGCTCCTCATCGTGTGAGTAACGGCCTTCATTCCGTATCCCTGTAAAGCTATCATTGTACGATGCGTTATTCATCGCCAACCAGCGATGATGGTTCCCACTGAGACCTAAGAAACTAGTAACTGACAAGAAGCAGTTGCGACATCTCAGAAATATTTTCATCCAAGTCTAGAGTTCAACAAGTCGTAATGTAAGGTATTCGCGATTTGTGTCCGACTTGTTTAACATGTTGAGCGTGATAACCTACAAAAGTATGGTCAATGAGACACCTATGAGACGCGGCTAGTGTGACAAGATGCCAACCCATTCACTGGAGCGCGTCACTCATGGAACTGAAAAGTAGATGTACTGGTTGTGGTATACGAAACCAGGCCTATCCGATTCTTTTAAAAAGGACTTAGTTGCCAGTGACTATGTACTCTCAAGTGATCCTGATGTAACGCAACAGGGTTTGTAATCAAATGTCAGAAGTAGAGGGAAACAGCCTCTAAATTGAGTTGGAAGCTTGTAAGTAGTATACATGGTGAGATAGTAAGTGCTTTGATTTCGAAGACATCGAAGCATGCTGGATTGCGATAGATGGGGCTTGGTATCCTTTACTGTCGCCGTCTATAAGAGACAACTTCAACAGGGCTTTGTCCAGGAAAATTTACAGCTATTCGACGATCCTTCGGCCCTGGATGTCTTAGTATAGTTTTGCCACCCAGAAGTAGATTACATCCTATTTGGATAAGAAGGCTGCCATATTTGCCCTCTTTGAGTTTGGCTCAGATCACTGGTACATCTTGGACTTTAGATAGTGGATAGCTCGAATGCCAAAGGCCATCAGATAATATCCATAATAATTCTCATTTATCAACTTGTTTCCTGGTACGAATCCTGCAGTCAATATCACAAAATATTCTGACAGAATGCTTGTCTTTGAATCGAAATCTGATATTGTTTGAAGGCGAAAAGTGAAGAAGATAATCTGATAATTACATGATATCTTGAGTCCTTGACTTACTAAACTTATAAAGATTGCGCAAAAAACATGAGAAGGTCGACACCTCATTTGCTTCGCATTCAAGTCATCATGACATTGAATGAAAGTTCGTTGCTCATTATGCTTCTCTGCTATATATTACGTCTCACCAATTTATGCCGTCTTGCCTCGGATGATATCTGCAGCCTGAGCGAACGAGTTAGCGCCGATGAACCGTTACTGAGTTCAAACTTGGAAAGAGCTTACCCTTTCGGCGACAGCATAAACCGTAGTCATGGTGTGTGACGCAGGCAACAGAGGCATGATACTCGCGTCGACAACGCGTAGACCCTTAATGCCGTAAACGCTCAGATTGGTGTCTACGACGCCACCCTCCTCTCTCGGGCCTAGCTTGCAAGTGCCGACTGGATGATACAGGGTGCTACTCTGCTGGCGAATAAAGTCGGCGATTGCATCGTCAGTGGTAACATTGGCGCCTGGGACAACCTCGAAAGGCTGCAGACTCTTGAGAGACTCAGTGCCGGTCAGAGTGCGGGTAAACTTGACCCCTTCAACTAACAAAGAAACATCTAGAGGGTTCCTGAGGAAGGCGGAGTCTGCGATGGGGGCATCAAAGGTGCTGGGGGAGGCAGCACGAAGGCTCCCGCGAGAGTAAGGGTGTTGAAGACCGAGAATGATTGCGCCGTCTGCCCAGATCATCTCAAGAAGAGCGGAGTCATTGGCTAAAAGACGCTCGTTGAGAACCTTGTGTTGTGCCCGATATCCATTCACAACTTCAGGTGGGGCTCCCGACGGCAGAAACACGGTGCCATCTTGAGCTGTAGCTTGGGTATTGAGAGCCTGGTTAGCCTTGGAGTAGGTGGAAAGCGGGAGGAAGGCGAGGAAATCGCCAGTAGGAGAGCTCAACGGGCCATTCTGGTGACTATCGTATTGGGCTCGGGCATCAGCGGCGAAGGTAGCATTGCTCTGCAACAATGAGTTCACAGGAAGAGTGGTGTTGACTGTAGTGTCATGTCAGTCCTATGATTAAGTTTAATTTCCTTTCGATGATAGATGGTCTTACTTGTGTTGACCACGGTCAAGAGGACGTGGTCGTGGAGGTTCTGGCCAACGGCTGGGAGATCAACGACGGTCGATACGTTGATGCTCGCGTGGAGGGCGGGGTCACCGATGCCCGAAACCTGAAGGATCTGAGGGGTGTGGAGTGTTCCAGCTGCAAGAATGACTTCTTTGTTCGCATCGATAACCTGAGTCTGTGCATCCTTACTGGCAGCGAACTACAGGAAGACGAGTCAGTTGACAGCTTTTTCCATCCTATCTTGACACAACTTACTTCTACTCCAGTTGCCTTGACGCAGTCTCCTAAGCTAGCCGTGACCACTTTTGTGACTTGATGTCCAGTGAGAAGGTGGAGGTTTTGGCGCCCAGTGAAGTTGTCGTAATATGCCTCTCTGGCAGATGAACGAGTCGCTGTCTTAGGGTCTAGGTTGTGAGGGCAAAAGTAACCACCAATAGGACCTCCGTTTGCCTGGTCCTTGGCGACAGGTATACCGAGCTCTTTGACAGCGTCAACCATGAACCCTAAAAGGAGATCGTTAGAATAGCTGCGTTTAAACAAATAAGAACTGCGGGGACAGCTTAACTGGTAGTGGGCCAGAAGAATGGTGAATAAGTGACCTGCATTAGTCCATCGTTGCCATGTGCGGCGGTGTCGACCTCAATATCCCATTCAGACTTGATCTCTGGGATCGGAGGTGTGAAATTTTCGTTCTTAGTCGTTGTTAGCTTTGAAACCAGGTCAAAATAAACAAATAAGTAGAGAAATCCTCTTGCCTTCTTGAAGTAGGGGAGCAAAGTATCCCAATTCCACCCCGAAGCCCCGAGACTTTCCCATCGATCGTAATCAGATTTTGACCCACGGTCAAATACCATTCGATTAAGTTTAGTTGAACCGCCAACAACCTTTCCCTGAGGGATAGGAACAACTCGGCCACCTAGCGCTTCATTGGCGACGTAGGTCGTGTTCCAGTCGTACTTTGTTCCAACCGCGCCTCCAGCTAGCCCGGGTATCTTGACGATATCCTCGCCTGCGTCACTAAAGACTTCAGATCAGAATTTGTGCATAAGGTGCTTCTAGCTGGGAGCGGCTTACTGTTCACCGGCCTCAATGACAAGGACAGTTACACCTGCTACAAGTTAACTTCCATACCAGATAATAATGCCTTTTAGCGGACGAGTGGAGGCATACTCGGATCTTCAGAAAGTCGGTTAGCAACAGTGAGTCCACTGGCACCAGCGCCGACAACAACGTAATCGTAACTAGGCAGCAAGCTGGTGTCGCCCCGTTTCGTGAGAAAAGGAGAGCAAGAGGACGGACGAACAAGTGCTCCAAGGAGAAGCATTGCTCTCATAAGGTAAGCCATGATGGCAAGCTTCCGAATGAAGCTCTAAAATACAAAAGAATGACTGGTTATGTATATTTGCAAGCACACGGTAACGATTGAGTGGAGACAGAAAGGGTTACGGAACCGTAGTGACCTAGGAGGGGTTTATATTCGATCTGACTAGCCACTGCAAACGGGACGCATCCAGCTAATAGTCAGTAAACTCGGTTTTTTCTGCTATAGACACACTACCGAATATAGCTGCCAAGCGTGAACTAACTTCTCCACCGGAGCCAGGGGACAAATAAGAAGCGAACCGGATACTGAGTACCTACCTAAACAGCACCGTTATTCAATACGGCGCAGCGTAAGCATGGAAGGTCAAATAGGCTCGCTGAAGCCAAGGGTGTGTGTACGATGGGTGCCGAAGTGTCGCAATAGGTATCCAGAGCGTGTTAGCGATTCCTCAATCAGCAGGATAAGCCGAGGTAATGGCTGCGGTCCGCAACGGTCAGTACCATAGCTACTATAGTATGCAGTATCGACATATGGTGTGGAGCAAAATTGTCACCTGGGAGAGGCCAGCCCGGAAATTGCAGCTCGGCTGGGAAAAGTGGACTAAGGCATGGGGCTTGATTTATGTAGGTTCATAACTGGTAGAATGACACTGAACAAGTACAAAGCGCTCTCTTCGCCCTACGGTAGATTGTCGAAAATGTTAAGCGATATTTCGACCAGGTAGGCTCAGTGTCTGAGATGTAATGCTTTGTTTAGCTCGATTATGGCAAAATATCACCCCGGCTCCGTGTTAAATGAACAAGGAGTCCCGGACTAATGCGCCCCCTTCAAAATTGATCCCCCCTACCTTATCCCCAGAGTCGGCACTCTGCCGACAGGAACAAAAAAAAAAAAACTTGTTTTTCTTTTTGCTTGGCTTCCATCAAACTGTTTGCAATCCGACATCCGTTGTGTTTTAATCCAAGATTTTTGCTTGCCCTCTGTTAATATAACCGAGGTCCACGGAGTTGGGTCCGATTGACGAAATTTTGATTTTGAAAAACGCAACTAGAACTGCTGAAAGTGGCACCTTAGGTTTCCTGTCATGGAAAACGACTGCAGGACGTTCACCTGCGCGGCCTGAGCTGATTCATGACCTGTACCATTCTTGGTTATTATATGATTCTCTTCGAGGCTGGCTCCCTGAAGTCTTCAGCCAAACTTTGACAGAACACAAGTCAGCGTGCAGCGACAAATAAAGCTTAGCCCTTTGGCGACATAATGTATCTTTGATTTTTTTTCTCTTTTCCTTTTCGCAATCTGATTTCTCGCTTGATAACGCTCTCTCCTCCACGCCTTTGTCTTGTGGGTGATCAGCGCATTGTTGCCATTAAGCTTAATGACTGCAGCAGGTACTAGAACTGGAAGGTTCAGGGCTATCAAATGCAAGCATTCTCCAAGTGCCGACGGAGACTATGTCAAGTCAAAACAGGCCTGATGCTGCACGAGTCCAGAAGTCAACATAATATATGCAGTTTCAAGACTTAACGACGTGAAATAGATCAATTGATACAGTGAAGGCGCGTTTCAACTGTTTATCTGGAACACACAGGAGTGGGTAAGCTGCCGGCTCCAATGTGTAGATAATATTCATCGCACTAATGTGGAGAAACAAAGCAGTTCATCAGAGCCGATTCCTCTAATGTATGGTACAAAGATTGCCGCAACACTCATTCATCTGAAGTTCCTTAATCCAAGACTAGGTGGTAGTGTCATATTTAGTACACAATCACAAGCTCAGCCCCTGGAAATTCTCAAAACCTTGGTTCAATCTGTCGTTCGCATGTCAGTCAACGAAGCTCTACTTCTATTATGAATGTGATAGGCCGTAAGACACACAATCGGCCTCATTGTTCGACCGGAGGCTGCGGAAGTCTCGACTCTTCTGATAGTGTCACTAAACAGGAATCGCGATATCCGACTTGGTCCATCGTATAGGCGCCATTCCGTTAGGCGACAACAGCGCCTGGGTTTGAGCTCTGACTACAGCGTTATTCTTGGACTAACTTTTCGACGGTTCCTACAAAAAGAAGAAGCTCTTGGGAAACTTCTCGAATGCCAAGGGGCTACAAGTGTATCCCACATGGCCAGGAAGCGGCCCGACTTTTGATCAGTAAGTTTGGATAGGAAATCGTGTACGGCAAAACTAGAACAGCTATCGCCATATCTCAGAGGTAGGGTTACATGGCGGTAGTCGGTTGACGGCCGTTATCAACGGCGCACCCTGGTTCTGGCGGTGGATTCGGAAGAATCCAGTGAGGGCACTTGACAGCAGTTATCCGGGACCGGTAGCCGTTCCCCATGGATGGCGCCTTGGCCAGCTGCGGGGGCGGGGTAAGGGGAAGCTAGGTAGCTTCTACCTTAGGTGGTTTAAGCAAGCCGTTCCACTGTTCCACCATTGCGGGATATTTTCCCCCCAAAAGCCATCTGAATGGGGCAAATATCGCCGGTCAGAGCCCAACAAAGCCAATCGGGAATCACTGAGATACCAATGGAGAACCTGCAGGACAGCTAACCCCCCGAGCCATTATCGTCTGATATGAAAGTTCACAGCAGGACGTTTGCCGAACCCCGGGGTTTGTTCAATTATCAACTGGATTAATCGCTTGTTTACGACTTTCTCCTCTCCACATCACACCGAGCTCGACACACGGTCCCCCACCTGCAGCAAAGCCTTGCAATCAGAACATTCCGAGTGCATTCACAATGGGCAAGCCTATCGTTCTCCAGCTCGGCGACGACATCAAATGGAACCATGACCTCTACAAGGACTTCATCTCAAAGTTCGAGATTCGCCGGTCGTACAGCATGCCGCGCGCCGAGTTCATCCAGGCGCTCAAGGACAAGAAGTTTGGCGACTTCTTTGCCATCTACCGCCCCTTCTGGAACACGGGGGGTGAGATGGGCAACTGGGACAAGGAGCTGATCTCTCTTCTGCCCTCGTCGTGCAAGATATACGCCAGCGCCGGCGCCGGCTTTGACTGGGTTGACACTGAGACTCTCGCGAGCCGGGGTGAGTCGCGATGGGAGAGCTCGACGAGGCTCAATTAACTCGTCGCGCCTCCGCTAGTTTGAGTCCCCTCCTATAGGAGCACGCCGTGCTTACACAAACCGCTAGGGATTGTCTACTGCAACGCCGCTGCCGCGTGCACGGAATCCGTCGCCGACGGCGCCATCTGGCTCATCCTTTCCGCCTTCCGCCTCTTCTCGTGGTCCGCCACCGCCGCCCGCTCCGGCGATCCCGACCGTTTCGTCGACGCCAACAAGAACCTTGGCGCCGTCTCCCGCAATCCCAACGGCTTCAGCCTGGGCATCATCGGCTTCGGCAAGATCGGCCGCCGCATCGCCGAGAAGGCCCACAAGTCCTTCGACATGAAGATACTCTACAACGATGTCGTGCGCATGCCCCCCGAGCTCGAGAGGCCCTCCGCCGCAACCTTCTGCAAGGACATGGGCGACCTGCTGGCCACCGCCGACTGCGTGCTCATTGCGACGCCGTTCGCGGGAAAGACCCTCATCGACGCGGCTGCCATCGCCAAGATGAAGAAGGGTGCCAAGATCGTCAACATTGCGCGCGGCAAGCTCATCGAGGAGGAGCCCCTCGTCGCCGCCTTGAAGAGCGGCCACCTCTCCGCAGCCGGACTCGACGTCCACTACGACGAGCCCCACGTCAACAAGGAACTGATCAAGATGAAGAACGTCGAGGTCCTCTCACACAACGCCGGCGCTTCGCTGGATGCGCACATGGGCTTCGAGAGGCTGGGCATGGAGAACATCATTTCCTTTGCCAAGACGGGCAAGGCTATCACGCCCGTCAACACCCACTTGATTACTAAGAGTCGCTTGTAGTTGGGAAATTGACACGGAGCATATTGTATATCTAGCCAAGGAAATTTACGGAGTTTGGACAAAAAGAAACCATTATTTCAAGGCGTTTTTACCTCTTTATACCTCTCTACCAAGTTTGCCGTTCCTATAATGTCCACAACACGAATCGTTTACGACGATGTCAAGTTCGAGCAGATGCCTGCCCCGGGCGGAGAGGAAACTGTGACGACCCGCCCCGGGCCGATGCACCGTTACGAGGTCGATGCGGGGGTGGGGGCTGCGACCTGCTCCGATGACGACGATGGCGGAGAGTGCACCTGGCCGCAAAGGTTCACGGACGTCAGCATGTTTCTTTTTTCGACGTTTTAATGTCATTCTAGAATAACCCGAGAAACGAATCTTCTTTGCGAGCGGATCGCACCTTTTTCGGACTTGGCTTTCGTTTGCGTTTGGGTAGGGGCAGGCAATGTCCAACACGTCCGGTTGGCTGAAGCTCCCACATGAGAAACACCGGATGAGTTTCCTAGATGCAGGTACACTTTCCTATCACGGAGATGACACGCCCGTCCGGCCAAGAAGAGCGAAGAAGATGAAAGAGGTGAATTTCTAGCTAGATTGAGCTCACCTCTGGACGCCTGCATGAACATGTGCCAGTCCACTAGAACTAGTTGTTTTTGGACATGTCATACAATGCGTTTGGGGGGTTCATGTCTCGCTTCAACCGGGAACGACCATGGAAACGACCTTCAAAGGAGCAAGTAGGTTTGGTTTCGCCTGCCATGCCAGGCCGATCCTCGGGTTCTTCGGGAGCGCGCGCTTATCTCGAGCCACCCCCCCCCCGAACTGAGAACCCTGGGCAGATGGAGGACACAGATCCAATACTCCGCCATCGACTCTCATGTCGTGAAACACTATGACGAGCTGCTCAAAGGGGGTTCAAGATTCTTCTTCTTCTTCTTCTCGTGTGGTAGTGGGAAATGACTGGCCAAAAGCATTTTCTATCGACCCAAACGTGAACCACCTACGACACTCTCCAGCAAAGTCTCAGTCCTGGGCTGAACACACTATAATCGAGAATTTTCAAGAAAACTGGAGCTAGGCCATTGATTCTCCTTCTTGATTGTGTCTCTCATGGTGCCCATATATGAGCTGAAAAAAGATGTCGCTAATGTCCATCCAATGCGGACGTTAGACAGTGATGGTCCGAGGACGGATCGAGATTCGAGAATAACAGCGCATGAATCATAAAACAAGAATTTGACATCTCAAGTTTCCCGTTCTGTCTGTATCATCATGGTCGGATCTTTCTAGTCATCTATCTTATTACTAAGCCCATTGGAAACGGCATCCTCGCCGCCGCCCCTCTTTTGCGAGATACATTGATCTCCGCCCATCAAGAGCCAGACCTTGTCAAAAGAAAAGAAAAAGAAAAAGAAAGGAAGGAAGGAACCAGCCCTCGAATTTTTCTCCGATGCACTTGTCCTTGGTACTTTCACCGAGCTCCATCATGGCATCGTCGGGGCAGCCGCGTCTGATGTTGCTCGGAACGTCCGCCACGGACACCCACATGGCGCCCGTCATCTTGGGATCCTCACCCGCATAGCCGCTGTAGTACCAATTGAACTCAGCGCGCGATATGACCCCATCGACGGATCTGGCGCAATGGTTGACTCTCTCGATGAGCTTTTTGCCCTCCGGATCAATCATTGAGTCCTTGGAACCCGAGCCATGGATGTAGAGCGACAGCTTACCCTCGGTTCCCATGTTCCACATGTAACATGTGTTCCCAACCCAGCTCTGTCTAATTCCGTCGAGGACGTCGTGGTGTAAGGCAACACCAGGGGCGTGGTAGACGGGGTCCTGCTTGTTCATGGGCAGCGGCCGCCGGCTGAAGCAGTCGGTGTAGACAAAGATGATGGTACCGTTGGAAATCTCATGATGAGGATCGTGGATTCTTTTGTTTTCGATTGTTCAAAGCTTATCGACGCAGAGGTGGGTATTTTTGGGGCCCGCCTTGCACGAACCAAAATCATACCATCTTGGGGGGCAGTCCGGCTCGGTTATGCCACACCGAAACGAAAATAAGTCAACATGGTCTGGTGTTTGTAAAATGAAAGCTTGCAAGCAACAAACATACCAGATAATTCTCTTGACAGGAATAAAGGTGAAGTAGCCACACTGACTCTCGGCTAAGTCAACGTCGAACTTCCTGCTTTCGGATTCGGACCAGTCATGAGAATAACCGCCAGTCATACCAATCTTCAGTGCCTTTATGAACTGGATCTTGAAGTTCCCGCCCATGTTCCAACCTAATTTAACTGAGTCGTCCTCAGATAGGCCGCAAAAGATTGGGAAATAGCACGCAGAATGAGGGAAGGGCACCTCCTGCGCCCACTCAAACCTAGTGGCTGTGGCAGGAGCAAGTATTAGTATTCTCGACCGATATTGAATCCAGAAATACTCGAGGCCATCAACTTACAAGTCTGACAAAACGTGGTACAGGCATATTGGAGGTAACGCTCTGTGTTCCACTCCTCGCAGGTGTCAGCAAACCCCATCCCCCTCTCGAGTGGTAGGAATTTGCGCTTGGGAGGGCACTCATTGTTTTCGTAAGTTTTGTAGAGCGTCGCAGGTCTGTCTTTGTTCGCACAGGGGTCGGGCTCGTCGTCACTCTTGGAAGCCTCGGCTATTTAGCTGTTGATAGTGCTGCCCAGGAACTTTTTGGCGATCTTCAGGGCGGACAGTCCAAAGAGGAGTATTACGGGGGTCCCAGGTGTAGTTGAGAGGCGTGGAAGCAGCAGTCTTGGCATCGCTGTCACGGTTCTGGACAGGAGAGGACCTGCCAATAGTGAAGAGTTCGCGATCCTCGGAGCGTAAGGACCATAGGGGAGGATTGGCGGGTCCCAGTTGTATTCAAAGGGAAGGAACTTTTTGCTGTCGGGCTGAGAGGGGGCACCAGTGACGCCACGGAGGAAGACCTCGACCAGCAGAAAGAAGCCCACCATAACTCCCTTACCCTTGGATGAGGGAGCAGAGAAGCTGATAGCTTCCATTCTTCACGTTGGACGCTTGAAGCAAGGAGATTAAGGCAATGCCCAAAATTGTAGTTGAGATATTGCTTAGCAATATGACGGTTGAGCTGTGAGAATCAAGTGCAAGTTCTCTGCAGAAAGATTAGACAAGTATCCCAGTATGTGATGATCAAAGAGAAAAAGAAGGGGAAAAGAAAGAACATGGATAAGAGGTCTTTTGTCAGAGGCGTGAAAGTATTGTACAAGTCAATCGACGCTGTCAGCCGAGCTCAGGGGTTTACAGGGGGAGAGTCGACTAAGAAGGGGTGGTATCGTCTTTCTCTAAGATGCCAACCTCTTGTCTTCTGAAGCCTGTCACTAAGCTAGAGTAATCTAGACGCTAGGATTACATTCGAACATGTTGCTTGAGTATATTTGCAGCCTCTCTGCGTCTGTCGTTCAAACACCACTGCAGATATTGCACCACACTAAATATCAAAGAACTCAAACACGTCTCTCTTATCTTTGTGTAACAACCGATGATACGACGCCGAAGCCAACAGGAGAATAACGTACTCAACTATGCCGAGCAACCATGCCCATCCTTACGCAAGGCATTGTCTTTTATCCATTTCATCGCTGACGCTGATCGTCCCCGCGTGCAGGATAAGATGGGCTTCTTGGACCACATACAGGTTGATTCCCCCCTTTTATGTCTACTTTTGCACAACATAAAAAGCCACGTAACTTATCACCGGAGAAAGAAGTATAGCTGTGATGAGACACAATATTTCCCTTATAGGTGTCCATCCTCTTGGAATTTAGGACTTGTAGCCTCGACTGTCCGCCTATTCTGCGAAGTCCAAACTCCAGATATGGCAAACTTGGAAATTATTCCAGTTAAGATACTTCATAATCTACTTCGCATCCAATCCAATGACGATAGCTGCAGATATACAGGGTCCCATGGATGTTTTGGCAAACAACGCCCGCACAAAGAAGGCGGACACTTATCCCTCCACTGCCCAATATCCAGAAGCAAATCCCATGCGACATGTTCTCCGCCGATACGTGACATGTGGCAGGCATGAAAGTTCGATGGCGTCCCCAGTTCCAGAACACGCGGACGATAGTTCGTTCCTCTAACGGAGCGCCAAGCTCATGAAGACTTTGTATTCAGATTCAAGGCTCTTGACGCCTCGATACTCGCGTTGGTTGTGACCTCCACGGTTACGCAAGAAGAGGCACGTTACATATCTCTCCTTGGTTTCACACGGGCTAGCTACGTTCATATTCAATCATGCGTCAAAGGCAGCGAGCAAAACCTCGAAACAGAGAGGCGTGCAGATTAAGGCAATGTATGGAATTTCAGGCAGGTTTTGTCACGTGCTTGTATTTGTAGTGTATATATCAAACGGCCGGCAAGCCGACGAAAAAAGTCCGTGTTTCAAGCCACAGGCGGGTTGCCTATCCATCTACTGTACGCCTGCAGCGAGCAATCCATCATAAAGCTGCTATGTACCTACTCATCCATTATTTTTACATTCATGAAGAACACCGGGGCATCCAAGTAAGAAAGCGTATCCCATCATGTCGTAATCGGCATCGAATCGATCCAAAATCATGCTAATCATATACTTCATAGGAATGCCCCAGGCCGGCCTCCACCTGGCTGCGGTCGATGGGGAGGCGGCGTCGGTGCTTCAGACTCGAAATCAGTGTCACGGCCGTCGCTGAGTTTTCGTGGCGGGGTCGTGATACCTCGCCCATATCTCAGTGGTTGCGGTGGACTCGGGCTCGATTCCACGGGTCTTATCTTATCGTCAATGTATGGATCTTCTTCGTCCTCCTCATCGGCATCGTAGCGCCGCAAAGGAGGCATCGAGTGAGAGTCTCCTTTGACAAGGCCGAGCCGCTCCTCTTCAGTAGCATTCTTGACCTGTGGACTTGAGTAGCCGCGTGAGCCGAGACCATACCGGCTGGTCGGTCGGATATGCGACGGCTCCTCCCCCTCTTGGTGTGGTGCATCAGTGTGGTGCCTCTTGAACACGTTGGTGAAGGAAAATTGTCTCTTCGCTGAGTGGGGTGGTGGGGTGGGTGCCAGATGCGAGCTGGCACCACTGAGAGCGCTACCCCGAGATGCAGCTCGTTGGTCAGAGACACCGCCAGCGCCAGTGTACTCAAAATCGCCCTGGCTGTCAGCTGGCAAGCCATACACGTGTTCCCTGCTCTTGCCATAGTACGGAGACTGGTCACCGTCCGACTTGAGCGTGGATACGGCAATCTCTGTCAAAGGAACGGGATGCATAGGGCTTTGTATCCTTGGGTCCTGGAACTGAGGTTGGTGGGTTGACAAGACGCTCCGTGCTCGGTCGCGAATCGTGCCAGCAATGCTCGAGAGCATGCCGGGGGTTGTAGGGCGGTCATGCTCCGCCATTTCCTCTTCAGTCGGAAAGTGAGACATGCCCAGTGGCGGGTGGGCCTGGGGAGTAATCGGGGGGATCACGACCGGCGTGCGAGGGACGCCGGAATGAGGCACAGGGTAAGGCGAGATGATGGTTCCGCGGGTGCTTCGGCTCCCCACCGTCATGGTCCTGCGCCTCCTCAAACCGTCCCATTCGTACATTGGCTGACCATCCTCACTGACAGGCTCCAGAGACTCTCGTAGCTTCTCTTCATGTAACCGCTTGAACTCCTCCTCTTCCATCTTCTGTCTGGCCGAGGACAAACGGCGCACAATTGCAGCGGTTCCGCGGATGGCATCGGCTTTCGGCTCGGTTTCAGGCTGTTCCTGTTCGGCGATTGTCTGGATCTGGTTAAGATCACCAGAGAAGACGGCTGTGTCGGGCACATCCTTGGCGGATTTTGAGAGTTGCAACAGTACCACACCGGCGCAAATTGTCAAGAAACCGTTGACAACGGTGATGATTGCGGTAGGCGTGCCCTTGAATCCTCTGAATAGAACTGCTGAGGTAATGATAGTAGTACTGGTAAAGTAGACGTAGTAAGTGGGCGTAACGAGGGCTGCGTTAAACAGGTTCAGGGCTTTCTATATCGGCAGTGCGCGTCAGTCGTGTTGTACCGAGTGTAAAGGGGCAAGCAAAAGCTCGGGGGATCTTACGTTGAGGAAAATGATTTCCGTCAGCAGCGTACCAATGACGAACACCAACAGGACGTAGGTGAACCACTGGTTGAACTGAGCTTTTCCTCCGGCCTGGGCGACGATGGCGGCTCCCAGACCTTGCGTCGCCACAACACTCAAGCCTCCAACCCAACTGCAGATGGAGATATAGACCAACATGTTCTTCTTACCCCATCTCGGACCAGCGTACCATGCAGTGAGGGCGGCGCCAATAAGAATGACACCAGCATACGTCAGGAATACCGGATGAATGACATAGCTTTGCATCTGTTGGATGTCGGCGACTGCCGAGTTCTCGGGGGCATTCATGACAATGACGACGGATCCAACAATACAGAGGAAGCAAGAGACTTTGCCGACCATGCTCAGACGTTCCTTGAGGAAGATGGCGGAGAGAATGGCAGTTAGAACGACGGAGAGTGCGCCGAGCGGGGTGACGAGAATGGCGTCAGTGAAGGCGTATGCGACGAAATTGCAAACCTCTCCAACGATCATGAGAATCATGCCAGTCCACCACCAGGCGTTCTTGAGGTAGCCATAGCCCTCACCAGGGGCTTCGTTGTACTTTTCGTTGGCTTTCAGCAGACCGACTTTCTTGACCACGAAGGAGGTTCCGATGAATGCGCCCGAAGCAACGGCCAGAGCAATACCGATACCCTTGTATGCAGGCGGTCGCGTGGCCGTGTCGCCCGTAGAGCCTCCCATTCGTGCATATATCTCGTGAGCTTCCGTGAGCATCTTTGAGGATTGATCCATTGCGGAGGTCGAGGGCGCCGGGGCCTTGGTCGCCGGGTTGATATCAGGAGAGAGGAGGGGTTATCGTTACTCGAGAAGGCTGATCATTCGCGTGTTACTACACAATGAGCGGAAATCGGTTAACAGTTCCTTGTTCAGAAATTGCAGGTCCTTCGGCATGGGGTCTCGGGAGTGATGGGAGAGACGAGGGTTTGTTGATTGTGATGTCCGGGGCTTGGACTGCCGAGCGGTGGCTGGGAGGGGTTCTACTGCCAAAAGCCGGAGCACCCGAGAATGTGCGCAAAGATGCAGGATGGAGAGTAGATTTTGCAACTGGTGTGTGGTCGGAGGGTAAGGGGTTGAACACGACACCAGTGTGGGATTTCTCTTTCCTTTTAGTGGTAGAAAGTGAGGATTGTGCTCGCGAGGAGGCTGTGTCGAGACGGACGCCAATATATTCTGCTGTGGTGTGTATCGGTAAGTCCTGTAAGACGGGAACGGATCTTCGCCACAAAGCCTGCGTCAGCGTGCTTGCAGGAAGTGAGAATAAAGCAGAACTGTAGGGCGTTTGGCCGTACAGGTCAGGTCGCGAGGACGTCGACAGAAAGTAGAAATCAGGAATCCGTAGGGCACAGGCAAAGGGTGAGGGTGGGTGAGGAAGAGCCTATGCGCGAGACGAACCGCAGACAGGCGTCAGTTGTCGTTCGTCTGTAGAAACGGACCAGCAAACCGGGTGGACGAGAAGCGGATGACGGATGGCCAGACCTTGACTGATAAGTAAGAGAGGGGCCAGGAGGGAAAAAAAAGAGGGCTTTGGCTAAGACATGAAATGTGCAGCACTGAGCAGCGACAGAAACAGCAGCAGGGTCGGTAGCCCATACATGCGCATGAACATGGGAGAAACGGAAACAAGCCTGCGCAGGATGGGGAACACACACTGGAAACTGCCTAGTGTACTCAAACTACATCGTAGGTAGGTACAGTACGTATATACTGGGCATTGGACAAGCTTGCTCTTAAGCGGCGGAAGGAACCAGTGTTGGAATTGGAAAGTGCAAAGGGCCTGGACTGGGGATTGGGAAGGAACGAACACGACAGACCAGGAGCTGCTGGTCTAGAATCCCGGTCGTCAGCGTCGTTTGATTGGACGATCACGCTCGTGTAGGTGGGTAGCAGTGGGGGTGGGAATGCTTAGCGCCTTCCCGTTGCGCGGTACGCACCCTGTTCTTGGGAAAAAGGGCCAGTGGGGCCCAGGGGCTTTGCCTGCCACCTCGAAGGCCTCATTTAGGTTGCATACTCTCTATACATAGCACGTACTGTATATCCGTGAGTAGGTCAGCACGTATCGGTATGCCTTCGTTCTTCTTTTACTTCCCAATCAGGCACCCAGAGCGTTAGTATCAATGGCTTTGAAGAATAGACGCATTACGGGCGTATGTTTACATGACGTTAAAGGGCATTGAGTCATCTGTTCTCCCACCAAAGCTTAATCACATCACAAGCAAACATTGGATGAGGTTGATGAGGTCACCGATAGCGTTGTACGTGTAGTCACAACGATGTGCAGATAGTCTCCTCCGCCGTCATCGGACGCAACCCTGGGCAGTCGTCAGGGCTCAGTGAGCAATCGTTAACCGGTTGTCGTTTCAACACCGCTGCATCAGGGAAGAGCGGAGTAACAATAAAATGAATCCCCACTCGGGGATCCGAATCGACTCCGTCCCCTCCCAGGCCAGGGACGCAGAGACTTTAGATCCAGATGCATCAGACCTACGGATAACGGGTGCATGTTGACGACATCCACCAGGTGCATAAGGCAACGACATGCACATCACCAAGCTCCATCCCAGCCCATAACTCTGCAAGCTGGGAGAAGAAGCATTAGAGAAGGAACCTTCCTGTCTTTTGGGTTAGTTCCCCGGGCATTTCATACCCCACCGTACCGTGCTCGTGCTCGAGATGACTTGATACCGGCCCTGTTCGCAGTCCATCCTAAGTTTTTAACCGTCGTTTCGTATTCTTCTCGGAACATGTACTACAGTCGAAAAGGGAAAAGAAAGCAAGCATACCAGACGACAACGCAAACGGCAACCTCTCTCCAACGTCGCCCCGTCTTTGCTCTGCGACACATGTTTTGCGCAAGCAACCAAGTGCTGTCATCTCTTTCTTTGGCTCCCGTCGACACACCAAATGGGGGTGAGACACGATGCGACCGACGCAGGCCAAATGGCCTCTTCGGTCTTCACATAGTGATGGAGCCTTGTCTGTTCCCAGCTGTCACTACTGCCTGCCCCTGTATGCTGTCCCGCCACCTGCTCGACAAGAAAATGGTTGCATCAACACAAAAGCACAGCACCCGCTTCGTCGCTCAGCATCCCGGCCGGTGATGTCAAGGTCGGGCTGGAGATATGGCTTGTTGCAACGTCCTGATAGGCCCGTGTCTTCCCAACGTGCGACAACCACCCACCAATTCAGATCCTGGTCGCGTCGCCCTCGCCGTGGCAACGGAACCAAAAGTCAACCAAGTCAACAAATCCGACACCCGCACAACTCAGACTCGGTACTCCCTTATCCTTCTCCGATTTTTCCCCCTCGGGGGGAGCGGCGGCCGTTACAGCACAAAACCTCTTCCTTGATACACCAAAGCGAATACGGACACAACAATCGAGGCCAGTACACACCGCAAAATGCAGCCCATTTTCGTATCTCGCGAATGTTGGCTCCGTCTGGCAATCCTAGTGGTTAGTTCTGGGATGATGCATCGCTTTGGCTGAAATGCTTCAGCTGCGGCGGCCCAATATCGCCCCCCCTCCCCACCTCCCCCTCCGCCAGCACCATCGAGCGAGCCCCTCCCCTGGCCGCATTCCATCCTCATTCCTGTAGAGATACGTACCGCTTCGCCTCCTCGCCCACCCTGGCTACTCTCCCCCCGCTAGCTGCACAGCCCCGCGTCTCTCCTACTGCGGTCCGTATTCGTACAAGCGCCACACATTATGTCAGCACGGTACATGCCGAGATGCAGCTCGCACGAGTCAAATCCAGCCGCACGCGCCATGCGTTGGCCACGGCCAATTCAAGGGAATGTATCACATTTCCACCCTCCTGCATCTGCCTCATGTGTGAGTGTCCACGGACACATCTCTTGCCAGCCAGCCTCTGGTCTTTTCTCTTTTCCACGTTTTCAGGGTCCGGCGATTAACGGTTGGAGATGTCACCCATATGTCGCCAGACCGGTTTCGTGATCGGATGAGGGCCATGGAGGTCCCTCTCTGAGTGGCTACTGCTCCAGATCTACAATTGGCCGGCAATCCTCTGGTCAATAACCAACATGTGATGTGAGGGGGCAGCTCCGAGCCCCCAACGTGAGGCTTTGGCTTCGGCGCTACCAGCTCGGGCCTGCAGGAAATCAATGTGTTCCTTCAGAAAGGAATAGGTCAACAGCTGGTTCCTTCCTTGCGGATCACCATAAGCCACACCAGACCACCAACCACACTGGCGCATCGCATCCCGTGCTGATTAGGGACTCGTTGTCAATCTACACTGATGAACATTGCCTCAATGTTGTGATACCGCAGCACATCAAACTTTCCCGTCGTGTGTAAGTTGCCGTCATTACTGATGCGGGGTGCTTACTATTCAGCTGTGTTTCCATGAAGGATTGTGGGTTCGCTCTAAATATTCTCCCCTGCGCCGCCCTACGCATGCTTGGCCTCTCGCCTATGGCATCCTTGCTTGAGCCGCACCCGCATGCTTGGCCGAGACATACGGATGCCCTAGGTTCCCATAAGCCAGTAAGGTCGGATCGACCAACCCAATACCGGAGGACCTTGGGGATGTGATGCGCCCCCTCGTGGAAAGGTCGACCTCGACGGCCCGGAACCCATCAGGCCCACTGCTCCAGCTCTCGAAGTCTTCCATCGGATAATTCGTCCTTTCTGGCAAAGGGTTTGATGTCCGTCGGATCTTGTTTCGTGCATGAAAAGGATCTGCAGAGAGCTGCAACAGCCCGATGAGGGCTCGTGCGGGTCCCGGGACCGGCCCTCCAGAAACTTTGCTGCCGCGCCACGAGGTGTTCTACCCCGTTGCCTCCGGTTTTTCTCGGCGTTAGACACCATCAATTCATATTTTCGTTCCAATACCTCTAAATGTGTTTCAAATAGGTAGAGAAATTTTTCTTTGGCCAACATTGGACGATTGTAGGTCATGTTCCAACGCCCGCGAAGGCCTCGCTTCGGCCCGCTGATACAATGTACGAAGGCGCTCTCCGCATCCAACAAGAGACTGCGCAACCGATCTAACCGCAAAGCTGGCCAAAGTCTGAAACAGCGGAAGCAGAAATTGACAGCTCGGAGACGCTTGATCGCTTGTCGTGAGCTTGTTCATCCTTGGATGCGACCACCACGCCAGTGTCGTGATGAAACAGGACCTCAGAGTCTTACAGATTCAGATGATTACGGACTTGGGAAAGCGTCATAGAGTAGTAGGCTAGTATCTGCAAGAGCCCGCCAAAGCTTGATACCACGGAAGTACTTGAAAGGTCGCATTGCCAGGCTCATAGTGATGAAGCTATCGGTGGCAGAATTCCACATCTGCGGGCTGATATCCTTTTAGAAAGATCATAAGTTCTGGCCGCTGACCACCCAGCCCTTCTTGCTGGATAAAATCAATAACGTTGATGAGCCAGCGACTTTACTGCCTGTTCTCGGACTTTGCGGCTTCGACAGCGCCACCGTCGAGCCCCCCTTGCATTATTACGTCTATCAATGTCCATCGAAATGCCCGGATAATATATGTTATGTCATATGTTCTTCACCGGCGCCTCATTTATTTTTCTTGTCAAGTGGCTATAAGTTCACGTTTATATTTTGCTGTAGCATATAATGATGTGGACAACTCCATATGCATAATCAACGGGACGTACCAGGATCCGCAAGCAGGTGACTTCACGTTATTATGGAATTGGCATCCTTGGAGATATTTGCTGCTGCGGTGGCTTATCGTTGGCCATACAGCGGCGCTTGTCTGGCAGCAGATGACCTGAGATCTGGTCTGAGAGGAGCGACCTCGTCAGCGGTCATCTATTAGATACTGGGAGTTACGGCTTGTAGCTTCCCCCATCCACTGGACCAAACTCCGTCATAATTGAGTGTCAGCCATCTGGTGCACTTTGAGACAGCCGTCTGGGAGGAACTACTCCCGACATAAATTAAGAAATCCATCGACGCATGGTCTTGATCGGATAATTCGGACTCATCTCAGTAGTAATAAATGATGGCAAATCCACGAAGTTTCTCTAAGACGCCATACGGATCACAGCTCTGTTTTTACGAATTTCTGGACTGGCAGTGTCTATTTGCAATGTTGGGAAGTAGAAATAATTCCATAGTCAGATGTCTACTTCTGTGGGCCAATGCTCAACAGATGCTAGATCGCGCCGACGGACTTGAGCGCATCCGTGACAACCTCGTCGAATAACTTTCTCGGCAAGCCGAGCTTCTCATTCATAATAACACCCTCCTTCTCCAAGTGCCCGCCATACCTTCCCGTGACAAACCCTGTTTCGATCAACGAGAACGTCGCCGAGGCGTCACCGTCTCTCGCAGCTGACTGCTTCTCCTTGATGAGCGTACGGCTGTTGACGGTTTCCGTGGTGTACTTCACCCCTTGGAATCTCTCAATAGCTTCCAGAATCTGTTTCTGCGAGGCAGCAAAGTCGCTTAGGAGTACGTTGGTGTTCTTTGTCTCCGCCGGCGTCTGCAGAGCCTTTACTAAGCCGGTGGCTGTGTTCTCCTCCGTGGTGAATGACATCAGCCCCTCCCCATCGTCCCAGATCACGAACCGTTTATCCTTGACGTGCATCCCCAGGAAATCGTGTGCCATGCTCCACTTCATCCACATGCCGCACGAGATAGACATCCACTCCAAGACGCCCTGGTCGCCCTTTGACCGCAGGTACTCCTGCACTCTTCCCTTGTCATGGAACACGGCGTTGAGAGCCTGGGCGTCGGTTCGCATGTTGTTTAGCCCGTACTCGCTGGGGACGTAGCGTCTGACGCCGGCGGTGATGGCGGCGTCGATCATGCGGAACTGGTCGGCGACCGAGAGAGATGTCATGCAGTTAACAATCACATCCTGATCTGCAAACGCTTGCACTAGCTCTTCAGTAGGGTATGTGTCCGCGATGGTGATGGACCTGAGGTGAGATGGCAGTTTGGCTTTGGACGAGGAACGTTGGAGGAGGGTGATGGTGAAGTCTGACTGAGCTTCTAGAGCTGCGAGTACAAAGCTCCCTATTGAGCCACTGGCGCCGATAATGAGGACTTTCTTGAAACCAGACATGACTTGTACTGTGTTCAAGTTGATTTCTTTAAGATGTAAGGTATTGAAGTGATGGAGTATTTTCAAGAGAGATGTAGGGAATATGTGTAGTGTCTGGACTGCTCAATGATCTGCAAATGGTTTATGTGAAGGCTTCTTATATAGGTTCCGCTCCATATCTCGACCTACATTGTCTCAACCTATTGATTTGGTGGTTTACTTGGAAGCCTTGCTTATTCAGCTCCCGAGGAGTGTACAGCATGAACATTCGTGGCCTGCATCGTGATTTTACTCATACTGGATGCAGTAAGATTCTGAAAGAAATGCTGACTGCATCTTTGCCAACGTGAGTGTCCTAGTATCACCGATGTTTGCTGGATGGTACTGCCAAAGACTTACTAATCCATACTAATCCATTGGTTACTCAAACACCGTACATAACCCGAGACGCACCGAGGTTTTCGTGATTAGTGAACGAGACCAAAGAAGGCCTGCTTCGATAATTGTGGTTCACTGGAGTCATTTCGTGATTAGTGAACATGAAGCAAAGGCAAATTATCTCAACGACAAATCCTTGTGGGGAAGATCAGTATTGTACTACCTCAAAATGAGTAATTTGATCGCCGATTGTGTATTATTACGCTTTTCTATGAGATTTATGCCAATATACATGTGCCAATACACAGGAAAGAACTGTTTTGCATCCTGCGACAACAACCAGCATCCTTCAGTCCTTGGGTGAGGTTGATACGCTACAATTTTCCCCCGAAAAGGGCAAGACGGTAGCTTTTTATTGGGCATTTCCATCAGACGGCTGTATCTTCATAGATATAAAAGCCGAATCATTTACAAGTGACATTAATGAGATGAAATTGTAAACTTCGATATTATATGCGGGATCAGTTCTGCTGCTTTTAAATTGTGTCCGTCATGGTCTGTGGAGATTTGGGCGATGAGGGAAAAAAATTATGTTTGGTATCTGTTATAAGTGGAGAGATACCTGCTTATTTGCGCAGCACGTTTCACTGAACTGGATTATCCTGATTGCCCGTCATCTGGGCTATTAGGGATCAAAACATGACTTATACTCAACCATCTGATGATCTCACAAGGTAGAGTACACGGCATGGTACAAGAAAATTAAGGGCAAGTACGCTTATTTCTGCAAAGGCGAAGATAGGAAAAGAACACTCCAATACATAGATGAGCAATAAAGCAAGCAATGCACAGAACATATATAGATCTGTTTAGTGAGGCATGTAATTCAATTGGGATGCTTTAGTCGCAGACAAACACAAAGCAATCGAAACTTGTGCCTCGCAAAAAGCCATGTCGTCAATCATGGACAACAACTACTGCCTTTCATGTTGGGACAGGTTTCAAAAACGGCGAAACGCTTGTGAGTGCGAGAACGTCAGTTCTCAAGAGAGATGAGTGTTGTACCGGTGACCCGCATTGAAGTGTTTTCTCACGAAACAGGTTTACAATCACTACAACTTTGTTTAAACAATATTATTTTTGCAATCTTTTTATTCGCAGATGGACGGCCAGCCATTCATGGAACCCATCCCGAGATGTTATATCGATGCACCGAAACTAAGTGCGTATCGAATTTCTTCAAGATAAACCCATATGTGAGGTTGTCAGACATTTGATCTAGCAAGTGATCTGGCGGGACTTGGCAGCCTAGGGAAGAGTAATATCAGCTTCCAATTTACGGTGAGAATTTTTCCTTGTCATAAATATTTCTTGTATATAGTTTGAATTAGAATGCTGGCGGAGAAGAAGTTTTGTATTCGCAGCGCCATGGTGTAATCTTGGTGTAGAATTATCATTACCAGTTTCCCATAGTCACTGACCTACCGGTTCGAATCACCGCCGTGAAGACCTCTGAAAAGTTGCTTTGGTAAGGAGCTATGGCGCAAGAAGTCGAAATGCCGTGCAAGGCGAGCGGAAGTAACAAGGAGGCGAACCGTGGAAACGATCATGTGGGATTGGCATTTGCCACAGACTAACACCCTCTTTCACGCTTACCGTAGGCAGACTAGCTTCGAAGCATAGGGCCCAAGTCAGAGGACAAGGCTACTTGGGATGCTAATCAGATTTGCCGCAGCTGCTTCATAGGATTTGTGCAATGGCCCAGAAGGTCTCTTCTTAGGCCTCCGGCGCCTCTACAGCATCAAACGGCATCTTCATACTCAAACTCTGTTCCTCGCGCCCGCTGCCCGCTTACGTTTGGCCGGGATTTTGGAGACTGAGAGTCGGAAAAGTATGTCATCGTCAAGAAGGCGAAGCCACTTGTGAGGCGACAATACGTTACAGGCGACAGACCACTTGAGGCGCCCAGACTAGTAATGGTGGTACTATGATGCTTAAACAACCGCAATAGCAGGCACGATTGTGACGAACACCGTCACTGTTCGGGATCTCTTAGAAGCGGTGCAAGTTTCAAGAGGTTCAGACGCTGTACAGGCAACATTATGTCTGCAGAAACCCCGCCGAGCCTCAACATTGTAGACGCCGGCCCGTACTGTTCTTCGTAAAGTATCATATTCAGTCGGAGAGGCTGACTACGAATGCCTGACGGGCGCTCATCTTCTCGGATAGACTCAACAGAAACATTTTCTCCTGGACAACACTAAGCGATGAAACTGCTTCTGCAGAAATCTCGCAGATTCATACTGCAACGGCGTCTGGACAGGCCCAAGTCCCTTGACCTGTGTCGTGAATTATACTTTCGGTTGTTTGGTAAACCGAATGGCCATAGGTTCAGGTACCATCGTCATCTCGGACGATTGCTTCTTGAGTAATGTTTCTGACTCTGCGTACGTCGTTTGGGGAAAAGTATGTGAAGTAGAAGGATAAGAAGAAGAACAAAGCAGTAACAGGGAACACCATGTGAGACACCAAATATCGAGCATCTAACGTTGAACCAAAGTGGCAAATAGTAAAAGGTCATCCAGACTTCGGCGAACAGATGACATTCCAGAACTTTTCGCACCTGACTCGAAGCTAGACCGATGATGATAAGAGCCACGACATAAGAAATCAATCGACGTGACTGAACCTTCGCCACATAGCCAGAATCCTAGGACCCGACACGTACTGTATCATCCTAATAAGAGATGTAACTGTAGCCTGCAATATGAATGAGTGAAACAAGGTGAGACTGGAGACTAAAGCCACTTCAGCCTCTCGCTTCTTCGCCCCAACGTTATATGTCCATACAAGATCGGATAGCAACAACCGGCTACCGACGCCCCTTGGCATAGTGATGAGGTGAAGCTTACTACTATGCCCCTAGATAACACTGCTTTAGTGCAATTATTCTTTCTAATATTATCTAGTTGCGATGTTCACGTCGTTATGATTATCATGTTTTTAGTTAGTTAGGTGCCTACACGTAGAATTCTCATTGAGCCATAAGATGCATGCTGGCTCGACTTGAAGGGGTGCCGAGAAAAAGGACCCATCGATGAGTGCCATATCTTGAGACTTGGGATCTTCGATTAGGGCAATCAATAACTTGGTGGAATCCCTGTGGTTTGAGAAATGTGAAGGTCAAAGCTGGAATGAAGGTTGGAAACCGAGGTGAAGGTTAAAAGCTGAGGCGAAATCCAAAAGAGTTGAAGTTAAGGCTAAAACTTGAAGTGGAGGTCAAAGCCATAACTATTTTGGATTCTTAATTAGGTAACAAAGCGAATTTAATATGTGTCAGACGTGTGCTAATAAGAGCCTCGTTCGCATTATCACCCGCACCCTTAGTATTCCATTCGATATTGCTTTCTTTTCCTTCATTACACCGAGCCAGATAGAGTACTTTGAGAGATTCAAGATGTCTGCTGTTCAAATCACCGCCTCCACCACTGATTCGTTCAAGGAGCTAGAGTCAGCACTAGCTCCTTCGAATCAAGTGAAGCTTGATCTCGATCCTTCATCATGGTCGTCTGAAGCATCGTCATATGCTTCGGACAACACTTCTGAATATGCATTCAACGATAGCAGCAGCAGCAGCGATGATGAGATGCCGCCGGTCAGCACCGTCAAGGGGCTAGTTAACAACTCTATCGCTCTTCGCGAGTCCCACGACAATCCCGACAGTCCCTACTGCCTCCCCGCTGACAGCAAGGAGAAGCTCCGGCTTGATAAGCAACACAACTTCATTCGAGACCACATCTGCAATGGTCGTTTAGTGTTAGACGAATCTCTTACCCTTGAGAAAGGTGCACTCGTTCTTGACCTCGGTACCGGTTCCGGTGCTTGGGCATCTGATTTGGCACAATCCCTACCGGCTGGCGTCGAAATCAAGGGTTTTGACATCAGCAACCGTCTCTTCCCGCCAAATACACCCAACATGACATTTGCCATCGGCAATGTTCTGGACTTGCCAGATCATCTCGATTCAAGAGTCACCCTCGCGCATCAGCGCCTTCTCATTTACGCACTTCGTCGTCATGAGTGGAGCCGTGCCCTTGCCTCCATCAGGAACACTCTTATCCCTGGCAAGGGCGTTGTCCAGCTCACCGAGGTCCTCACGCCTGCTGGCAACCCTGGCGCCGCACAGGAAAAGTTCCAGGCTCTGCTCTCATCGTAAGTCTTGTTTCCTTTGGCCTGGCATTTTTTGCGGCACATCTTGCTGACAAGTCACTTTTTTTCGCCTGATAGAATTGGTCACAAGCGCCAGCTTCTTCTTGACTGCGGCGAACTTCTGCCAATTCTCCTTGCCGAGGCTGGTTTTGTCGACATTCAAAAGAGGACTATCAAGGTCCGCCTCGGTGGCGCTGGCGGCGTGAAAGGCATGAAAGCTGCTGCGTGCCGAGGCGGAGCTTTCCGCGGCATGCGCGACAGCGTTCTTTCGGACGGCGGCTACGGCATCGTCAACAGCGCAGAGGATTTTGACAAGCTCGTCAACCGTGTTGTGACTGAATGGGAAACCAACGAATGTTACGCCTTCTATTACACAATAACGGCGCGACGTCCATCTCTGGGCCTTGCCCCGCCACTGTCGCCAGACCATGCCTGAGGTCCTTAACTTCAAGCCAAACATAACGATGGCCACAGCTGCTAACGGTATTCCGAAAGCCATGTAACTTAGAACTATGTCTGAGGTTTCAGGAGAGTTGGGATGCGGTTACGTATGCTGAGGCCGAGCGGTTCGCAAATACGGGAGCTTTTCTCCTCTTACTGGGGCCTGTCATCAAAGACTTTCAGACTTTGTCTTGGGCGATCAGCAATGTTTCCGGCCATGGGATAAATTTGATAAGGAAAACTTTCAAGTAGAGTATGGAAA